TTTGAATCTTTATTTCTTTTATCTTTATCTCTATTTGATGAAAGCAGCTGATCACAATCTGTATTAATTAAAGAAGACCCTGCTTTTTCAATCATTTTTGAATCATATCCCTTTTCTATGTATCTTTGTTTAATAATTTTAGATTGGGTTTTAAAAGTTTCTATATCTGAACAGTTACGTCTCAAACGTGTTAATTGTCCCTTTGGGACGTTTTTCAGCCACAAGGGATGATGCAAACTAGCACGGTCTGTAGCAGTATTACAATCAGTATTTTTGAAAAAAGTTTTGGTTTTTAAGATATTATTTTCTATATAAATTGTTAAATCTAAAAAATCTATCTGGGTGGGATGACAAGTAGAGGTAAAGCCCAGATTATAATCATTATTATTAATATACAAAATGAAGTTGTCTAAACTAGTTTGATCACCGTCCCAGATGATAAGGACGTCATCTATGTAGCGTCGCCATAGAACGAGGCTTCCCCCCAGCATTTGGCCCAAAGAAATACATCTAGATTCCCAATGGGAGACATATAAATTGTCGAAGCTGGGGGCGAACCTCGTCCCCATGGCGACACCACATAGCTGTAGAAAATACTGATCATTAAACCAAAAAAAGTTTATTGTTAGAACAAAAAGCATGCAGTCAATCAAAAATTCAATCTGTATTGTAGCAATAGATAGATAGTTGTGATAACCACTCTTTTATTGCCGATAAGCCTTTTTGATGGGGAATGCTGGTATAAAGAGAAGTTACATCTACTGAGGCCAAAATATAACTTGATTTCCATTCTACGGATTGTAGATGCTTTAATAAATGTTTGGTATCTTTGATGTATGAAGGTATCTTAGATACATATGGTTGTAAAAAGAAATCTATATAAGCCGAAAGATTACAGGAGAATGAGTCGATACCACTTATAATGGGACGACCTGGAGGATGTGAAATGGACTTGTGTATCTTGGGCAAAAAATAGAAACATGCGGTTTTGCATTGGGGATTATATAGAAAATTATATTCTTCTTTAGTAATTATATCATTTTCTAATCCGAATTTTAAAAGAATATCAAGTTCTTTAAGAAACAATTCAGTTGGTTCTTTATCTAAACATTTATAAGTAACCTCATCATTCAAAATTTTATAGGCTTCTTCCATATAATAAGATTTAGACAAGATAACAACACCACCTCCTTTGTCTGCTTCTTTTATGACTAACTCATGATTTTTTTGTAATAACTGCATTGCCTGTTTTACAGCTGTGGTGAGATTGCATGACAAATATTTATTTTTCTTATTAGTTTTTAATATAAGTTTGTCAAAATCTTCTTGTACAGATTAATTAAAAACTTCTAAATATTTGCTGCGATCAGACCATGGATAAAAGTTTGATTTTAATTTTAAATTAGAATATTGTATGGGCTCATTAGAATCAGTCAAATTATCTGTGTCTTGTTCCAAATGTGAATTTTTTATGTTGTTTTCCTTGAAAGAACTTTCATATTTAATTCTCTCAAAAAATCTCTTTCTTGTCAGCTTTTTTAGAAAAATTTGATTATCCAAAAATAATTGAAAAGGATTGGGTTTATTAATGGGAGTGAATTTTAGACCTTTTTGTAACAGTGATAATTGACCTTCATCTAGAGGGATACAAGATAAATTAAAAATTCCTTCAGTTTTATTTAATGTTGTCTGTGGGGTAAAGCTTGATATGTTGTTTACCCCTGGTCTTCCACATCTATATGTGGTCGTTTTTTTGTGGGAGATCTTAGACTTGTGAAACGATTTTGTGTGGGAATGGTGTATATTGCACCTTGTTCTTTTTGATCTGGCTCCCTGTCTAAAAAATCTTCCTGTTGTTTATATGTATGACTAGAATTTCGTGAGAAAGATTTTTGCCCATATGGGGAACTTCTCTGATACTGATTATAAGATATAACTTGTTTTCTATATGGAGTTCTAGTAGTATAAGTATTAGTATCCTTGTATTGTCGAGTATCAAGTGGCCTTCTTGAAGAAGGATTTTTAGTATAGGTCTTAAAATGTTTGTCTGATTTTGACCAATCTTTCTGGCAACCTGTTCAATAGTCATCCTGATCTCTTCTGTATTTAGAGGATTTTATATCTGAAACTTTTTCATCTATTGCTTTTATATTGTATTTTAGCTGTTTATATTTTTCTTCTAAAACTCTTTTATCCTCTTGATTATTTTCTATTTCAACTTCAATAGCATTTATATCCTCTTCGATCTTTTTTAGAGATCTCCTTTGGAAGTCTATCAAACTTCTCATATATTTAAAGGAACATTCATCGCTAGCTGAGTTCCATTCATCTAATAATGTTTGGTCTCCTGTTTGGTCTCCTGTTCCAAAAGCAGGGACCTTTAAAATTCTAAGACCTATTACCTCTAAAATATTGGATGATGTTATATAATATATTATTCAATTTTGTAAGAAATTGAGCATACCAAATTGATTGGACTTATATTGATTGTGTACACCTTTAAATTCTCAAATTCATCTTTCGAACTTCTAATTTCTAAATTTCAAACTTCTAAGTTTCAAATATTCTAATATATTCAAATTTATTGTAATCAAATGTATTCTAACTATTCTAATTCATATTCATATGTTTAAAATATCTGTAGAAGGTATACTATATCATATATAATTGAAAGATACACATAGAGATATATATCAGTATGGATATGCCCAATGTCTGGTAACTTATGTTCACTTTTATAAATCTATGTAAGATGTGCTTTTTGTGAATAAGTATCATGAATTTCACTGGTTTCATTTGTAATATTATGCTGTAAATGCTGTTTGAGCTGCTACCATTGATATAAACTGTGGTTTCACTCTATCCGCGAAAACGGAAGTGACGTCATGCGGAAGTAATATGCGTTCCACGGTGGAACGCACGCCAACACCGGCGAACATTTGAGTGATTAAAAGATGGATATTTAAGAAGATTCTCATCCCTATCACAGCTACACATCCCTGAGGAAGTCCAGAGAAGGACAAAACACGTTGGAATTGTTTTTATTTTTATTTTGTTTCTGTATTGAATTTTTATTTCTTATTGTCTTGGTGCTGCTATCACTGTTCCAGATCCTGTATCTTGATTGGTTCAGCTGCTGCATATGAATACCACCCAGTGTGGAGACAAGCTGCTTTTATTCTGATACATTGTAAGTGCAATACATGTAATAAATTGGTACTTTTTATACAATCTGCACTATCTATTTTCCTCTTTCTATTTGGAGTGAATTAGAAGATTTGCTGCTAACATATATTTGGATTCATCGCTGGAGGTCCTTCATACTTTCCAGTCCCGTAACCCCTTAAGGACCAAATTTCTGAAATAAAAGGGAACCATGACATGTCACACATGTCATGTGTCCTTAAGGGGTTAATACAGAGGGAGATATGCCTGATTTCATCTTACCCTTGTGAGTTTTCTACCACCTATATTCTCAAGTGGTTTTTAACAATATCACACTATATATTGTTTGTGTATTTCTTTACAGATACAATTTTGAATTTAAATATCTCAACATATATTTAGTTTGTATTTATTTACATATTATCACTTTTTGGTGATTCACATTATTTTGTATTTTTGTTTTTTTTTCCTTTTTCTTGTCACTGTTGTTCTTTGAGTGTTTATAATGGAACACTTATAAACCTAGGTACCTGTGTGCATTATAGCACTGACGGTTAACTGCTTGCTTTTCAAAATGTATTACTGGGTCTTAGAATGGCCAGAATTAATGTAAATAGAATAACCAGTAACTAGCCAAGGTCAGGGGTACAGAAAGAAGCAAAAACTGAAAGTCAAGAGCTAAAGGGTCAGGATGCCAGCAGTAAGAATAATCAGAACAAGCCAATATCAAAAAACAGAATACCAAATACAGGAACGCGCTCTTGGACAACCAAACAGTAATGGAAATCACTACAGGGCACTGAATAGCTGCAGGTTTGGGTTGAAATACGCCAGTAAACCTGCTATTTGCTACATTGGGTACCTTGACCCCAGAACGTGTGTGCACGGTGAAAATGTGACGCCATACGCACATTTACATCACTAGTTATGTTATTGTGGGCAGCACTATCATATAGGACCGCCTTGCAGCAGCCAGCGTCCTTCCTAATTCTGGACCCGGCCGCAGTCACAGGAGCTGTGCTGAGAGAGAGGCGTTGGAGGCAAGGTGAGTAATCTTTAGTGTGACTGATCACGGTGCCGATTGGGTGGCTGCAAAAATGACAATTATAACAAGTATTATGTTTATGTATGTCAGATTGTGTGTGTGTATCTGAATGTGTGTGTATCAGGGTGTGCATGTGTGTGTGTTTGTCAGTGTGTGCGTGTGTGTGTGTGCGTGTGTCAGGGTGTGCATATGTGTGTCAGGGTATGTGCATATGTCAGGGTGTGCATGTGTCATGGTGTGTATATCTGTGTGTGTGTGTTGTGTGAATCTATGTGTGTGTACGTGTCAGTGTGTATATGCATTTATGTGTATGTGTCAGTGTGTGTATGTGTGTATCTATGTGTTAATGTGTATATAAATCTGTGTATGTATGTATGTAGCAGTATATGTGCATACATCCAAACAATCAAACACCAACACAACATGAAAGCACACTCCCTGCAGTCAAACCCCAATATGTTCTACACACACCCGTTCACTCAAACATCAATACTACACACAAATGTACATCCGCATTTAAAAACCAACATTACATTCAAACACAAATCTTCAATCAAACGTAATCATTACATACAAACACACCCTGTATTAAAACACTAAAACTATATACAAGCACCCCTCCAATCAAACACCAACACTACACACAAATGCACACGAGCATTTAAAAGCAACCACTACATACAAACACACCCCTAAATAACTTTAGACATCTCACCAAACTAAAGGTAAATGTTGTTTACTGTATTTCAGTGGTCACATTGCTTGTTTGGATTCATGTTCTTCTTCGTGATAATTAAACTCATAAAACTCCTCAGTGTTTTCAAAATGATGGTTCCCTGGATGAGTATGCTTCGCCATATATGTGTCAGCACACATTTCATGATGGTATGAAATTTATATTGCTATGTTTCTTTTTTCAAGTTGCATGTGATTTATTTATTTTCTGGTCAGATATGCATTTTAATATATTATCTTTTCTATTGTCAGTCTGCTTATTTTCTAGACTCATATGAACACTGCCCAGTATTAACAAATAGCAATACACAGTGAATCTACTTTTGCCTGTTGATTGTCACTACTGCAGTGCATACCTCTCCCCACTCATCCTCTTCATCTAGGTTTACATTATTGACCTACAGCTCTAATATCAACCAAAACCAGAGTAAACAAAATTAATTTTAAGTGCTGAAAAAAGTGACAGTAGGCAGGTGCCTACTTTACTTACTGGCAATTCCAGTTTTAAATCGTAATAGTTTTGAAGATTGAATTAATTCATCGAGGTACAAAAATTGTTTTTAAATCCTTGTATTTTGCTTTAGTCCACAAATGGAACCAAATGGGATAGCAAGATGCTTATTTAGATGCAATTTTCAGTGTTCTTAACAATGTTACATGTTTAGCTATTTTAAAATCCACCTAACATAAGTGTGCAGGATAAGAATTGTGCAAAGCTAAGGTAAAATAGCTCCCTACCAGATATTAGTAAGTTAGTTATAGAACTCAAATTTAATATTTACATTAATGTTTATATTTAAAAGGTGCAGCTGAAATATTTTATTAATTATGTACTATTTTTTCTTTCTTTTTTTTATTGCAGCTATCTGCTGTCGTCTTTCTATTGGCTTACTCATCACTTGGATATCTTATGTTTAATTCTAATACCTACACATTTAGTAGTGTGATAAAGTCCCTTCATATTCTTTTCATCCATTTGCTGAAAGTTGGTGGTTCAAAATACACTTGCATACAAAATTCAGCCATGTCTAATCATGTTTCTGTGGTTTGTTTTTATTGGACTTTCTTCATTGTAATGGCCTTTGCATTGACGGGTATGGTAAGTAGAGCAAATAACTCTTAATTTTCTCCAGCTCTGATTCGATGTATATGCAATATAGTTAACAAGAGTGTTGGCAATAGATTCTGTGTAGTGTAATTGTGTAAAATAGTCTAACTGGGTGGTTCTTGCAGGAGACTTCTTCATGTCTCACTCAACACACACTATATAGTAGTGGAATTGTGGATACAGAAAACAGATTCCCATACACAGTAGTCTTCACATCAGAACACTGGCTCTCTGGCCTGATTCTAAGAGGCTCAGGTTACAAGTTCCAAGATACTAAAGGAAGTAGCTGCATGTATCGTATTGCAACTACATACTAATAGGTTATATTTATTCATAATATAGCTTTACAATGCTCTCCTTGTATTTTTCACTCCTATATTTTTCTCCTTCTATCCACTCATTTAACCCCTAAAAGGCAGAGACAATTACTGATCAAAACACAACCTAGAATTTGAAGTCTATGTCTCTTCAACCATTTATTACATCCACACTTATTGTATATTATTTTGTTCAGGAGTAAAAAGGTTTTCATTATATATCAAATATTTATGAAACATAATTTAATAAGAATAAAATCTAAAAAAAAGTGTGAAAATTAAATTCTTTTAGTTCTGCATGGCATTTTAACAGTGAATGTCATAATACTGTTAGCTTTTACTGTAATAAAATGCACGTATTTGTGTTTAGCGGTGTCTCATGAGTACAACACTATCCCCCACGTACACTTTTGATAGGGTTTTGGAAAGTTACAGAGTCAAATATAGGGCTTTCCCCTTTTCATCTTATACACATTGAAATTTGCCAGATTGGTGTGCCTATGTTGCCTTTGAGACTGTATGGCAACCCAGGTAGGAATATCAACCTATCACGGCATACCATTTGCAAAAGTATACAACACAATGTATTCAAAATAAGGTATGTCTTTTTCCTTTTTTAGTAGCCACTTATTCACACACCCTGGCCAAAGTCAACGTTCATATTTGTTTTTTGCATTTATCACAAAAAAACTGTAATTTAACAGATTATATCATCAGCATTATACATTTCACTGCTCTAAAACACTTATATTTGTGTTCAATGATATCTCACATGTAGATGGGTTATGGAAAGTTACAGGGTCAAATAAAATGCTTTCCCATTTTCAGTTTTGAAATTTGCCAGATTTTTTATGTTGCTTTTGAGACCATATGGCAGGAGAGGAATGAGAATTACCTCTATCATGGCTTACCATTTGCAAAAGTAGACAACCCAAGGTTTTCAAAATGATGCATGTCTTTTCTTTGTTAGTAGCCACTTAGCACAAATCATGGCCAAATTTAGCATACATATTTGTTTTTTGCATTTTGTTACATACAAACTCCATTTTCATTGATCATATCATCATTACAATATGTTTTACTGTCTTGAAACACACACATATATATATATATATATATATATATATATATATATATATAAAAAGATGATGGCTTGGCACTCTCCTTAAAAAAGAAAATCAATATACTACTTGCCTGGGTGCAAATCATAAGCGTCAATAATATAAGAAAAAAGTTTCCAGATGCACTCACAGGTCTTCAAATATAGGGAAAAAACTGGTGCTTTATTAATCCATATGTGATATACAACGAAAATCAATAGACGTTTCGACCGTGCCGGGTCTTTTTCAAGATCATTAGGTGCATAACAATACAGTGTATATATATTAAATATAAAAATATATGTATGTGCACTTACCCAATAGAGAAGTGAGGTGAAGGGTGTCTGCCCGTTAGAACCCGGAAGTGATTGGAAGCCGCACGGAACGTCACGTGATCGGACGTCCGACGGAGGAAACCGGTTACCATGGTGAAAGTATACAACCAGAGTAAAGCTCTTGTCGAACGCAAGAGAAACAAGTTACAGTGAAGGAAGGTTGATAGTGTAAACTATCAGCATAATAGAGTGATTGATGTTGCCAAAAATAGATGAAGTTAAAGTGAAAGCAACAGTGTTATCACATGCAAATAAAGAAAAGTGGCATATAAGTGAAAAAATTAAATCCACACAAAATGTGCAATCTATTACATAACATCTAGATAATGGCATCAAAATTTTTTAAAAACAAAGCAAGAGATCAAACATATACATGTCATAATATATTAATAGATAGAGACAGAGAAATAGTAATCTAATCCCTAAGAGAAATTATTTGATATAATAATAACAACAAATATTCAAAAAATATATAGTATTATAGTGATAATCTAGAAAAAATCTAGAAAAAAGCTCCAAGCTCTATACAGGCATATTATATCACAAAATGAAAAAAATAGTAAAAGAAAAATAATAAAAGACAAACAAGCCATCTATAGATTACTGGCCTAGAAGACAGATAAGCTAACATAAAGACATAAAGACATCCTGTCAAATATTATAAACCTAACTCCATCAAGGGACTGATGACATATAGATACCACAGATAAATAAATGAACGGTATATCTAAATAGAAAAAAGGATGTCTATAATAAATCGCTAAAAAGATTTACATAAACAAATCCCCCTCATACTATGTAGTATAGCTATCTGCATCTAGAATTAAACACATACAGCCATAAAAAGAAAAAAAGTGGTTATTGTATACCAAATGCCTAGTCTAACTATAATTAAAGATTTGCACAACGGCAAAAAAGATATTTTATATATACTCTGTCCCTATGTTGCCATAAAGCTAACATAGTTTAACCAATGTTCCATGCGGCTTCCAATCACTTCCGGGTTCTAACGGGCAGTGTGTGTATGTGTATATATATGTATATATATATATGTATGTGTATATATATATATATATATATATATATATATATATATATATATATATATATATTTGTGGTCAAGGAAAAAAGCAGAGTAAGTGTTAACCATTATATTTACTAAAGTTGGTTGTGGTGTGCTGAAACCGACGTTTAGGCAGGCCTGTAAATAAAGAGGGCCCACCAAGATGGAATTTTGTAAATAGAGAGTGGTGGGTAGGGTGACCAATCGATGGCATCCCGGAATAGAGGTAGGTTTGGGTTTATATAGGCCGGATCAACCCCTCCCACAACTCCTGGCTGCGCCTTTCCATTTGTGGTCTGGGAAAAAAGCAGAGTAAGTGTTAACCATTATATTTACTAAAGTCGTTTGTGGTGTGCCGAAACCAACGTCTTTTGATTATGTGCACTGGTACATTTTGACTAGAGGCTGCTGTTGCTGCACCTATGTAAAATGAATGGCCAGTGAAAGTCGAAGCATTGCAACTAGTGATGTCGCGAACATAAAATTTTCGGTGGCGAACGCAAACTTCCGCAAATGTTCGCGAACGGGCGAACCGCCATAGACGTCAATAGGCAGATGAATTTTAAAACCCACAGGGACTCTTTCTGGCCACAATAGTGATGGAAAAGTTATTTCAACGGGACTAACACCTGGACTGTCTCATGCCGGAGGGGGATCCATGGCAAAACTCCCATGGAAAATTACATAGTTGATGCAGAGTCTGGTTTAAATCCATAAAGGGCATAAATCACCTAACCTAAATTGTTTGGAATAACGTGCTTTAAAACATCAGCTATGATGTTGTATCGATCAGGTAGTGTAAGGGTTACGCCCGCTTCACAGTGACAGACCAAACTCCCCATTTAACGCACCGCAAACAACCGCAAACAGTCCATTTGCACAACCGCAAACTCCCCATTTGCACAAGGATGGATACCAAGCTAGCCATGTCCCATTCCTTGTCCTCACTGATGTCATTGAAGGTCTCTTCCTCCACCCAGCCACGTACAACACCAAGGGTCCCCAAAAGGTGACAACAAGCCCCCTGGGACGCCTGCTGTGTTTGGTCTTCCACCTCCTCAAAGCCACCTTCCTCCTCTGACTCCTCTTCTTCAGACTCCTCTCTCTGCATTGCCTCTCTCTGCGTTATTATAAGGTGTGTTAAGTAGTACTATTCCTATTAGTTTAATCCCTGTTACGTCCCCTTTCAGGGGACGTGTATATGGCATCGATTTTAGGAACCGGGAGATGGAAAAAGATGCTTGGTCGGTCCTCCTTCTTCAAATTTGGGGCACCGCGCGTGCAATCTAATGTGCCACCCGATAGGAGTGGTGTGTTAAGTAGTACTATTCTTATCAGTTTAATCCCAATGTCACGACTACTAGTGTGGTCCAGCATGCAGAAACTATGTAAACATATACATAGGCAAGAAAAGGAAAATAAAAGGACAGAGCGTAAACCGGACTTTAGAATGGCCGGACTAATACGCTAGAGACAGAGAATGGTCAAAGGGAAAGCTGAGGTCAAGGAAGCCAGAAAATACACAATACCGTTTACACAAGCCAAGATCAGGATACCAGGAAATCAGATTCATAATGATAAAGCACTCTCAGGAAACCAGGAACAGGAAACCACGACAGGGCAAGGTACTGGGTCGGGCTAGGGATTTAAATATCACGCGGCAGGCTGGCAGCCGCGACACCCTGTTAGTAGTGATGTCGCAAATTTTTCGCAAACCGCTCGCGAACGGTTCGCCAGGGTTCGTGGCGAACCGTTCGCGGCGGACTCCAGTCAGCTGACACATCCCGGGAAATATGCAGCAGACCCTCCCTCCCAGACCCTCCCACCTCCTGGACAGCATCCATATTGAAGGCAGCTTCAATATGGATGCTGTCCAGGAGGTGGCAGGGTCTGGGAGGGAGGGTCTGCTGCATATTGGCCGGGATGTGTCAGCTTCAATATGGATGCTGTCCAGGAGGGGGGAGGGTCTGGGAGGGAGGGTCTGCTGCATATTGGCCGGGATGTGTCAGCTGACTGGAGTCCGCCGCGAACGGTTCGCGACATCACTACCTGTTACGTCCCCCTCATCAGGCCTTTTTTAGTCTAATGTATCGCCCACTGTCAGTCCCTTCGGGATCCAACCCTCATTCATCTTAATAAAGGTGAGGTAATCTAGACTTTTTTGACCTAGGCGACTTCTCTTCTCAGTGACAATACCTCCTGCTGCACTGAAGGTCCTTTCTGACAGGACACTTGAAGCAGGGCAGGCCAGAAGTTCTATTGCAAATTGGGATAGCTCAGGCCACAGGTCAAGTCTGCACACCCAGTAGTCAAGGGGTTCATAGCTCCTCAGAGTGTCGATATCTGCAGTTAAGGCGAGGTAGTCTGCTACCTGTCGGTCGAGTCGTTCTCTGAGGGTGGACCCCGAAGGGCTGTGGCGATGCGTAGGACTTAAAAAGCTCTGCATGTCCTCCATCAACAACATGTCTGTAAAGCGTCCTGTCCTTGCCGGCGTGGTCGTGGGAGGAGGTGGATTACTTTCACCTCTTCCCCTGTTAGATTCCCGTTGTGCTGTGACATCACCCTTATACGCTGTGTAAAGCATACTTTTTAATTGATTTTGGAACTGCTGCATCCTTTCCTACTTGCCATAATTCAGTAACATTTCAGGCACTTTCTGCTTATACTGGGGGTCTAGTAGCGTGGACACCCAGTACAGGTCATTCTCCTTCAGCCTTTTTATACAAGGGTTCCTTTAACAGGCACGACAGCATGAAAGACCCCATTTGCACAAGGTTGGATGCCGAGCTACTCATGTCCTGTTCCTCGTCCCCAGTGATCTCACTGAAGGTATGTTCTTCCCCCCAGCCACGTACAACACCACGGGTACCAGATAGGTGACAACGAGCACCCTGGGATGCCTGTTGTGGTTGGTCTTCCTCCTCCTCCTCAAAGCCACATTCCTCCTCTGACTCCTCTTCCTTACAATCCTCTTCCAGCGTTGCCACAGGTCCAGCAAGCGATGCTGATAAGGCTGTTTCTGGTGGTGATGATGACCACAACTCTTCCTCTTCACGCTCATCTACGGCCTAATCCAGCACTCTTCACAGGGCACGCTCCAGGAAGAAAACAAATGGTATGATGTCGCTGGTGGTGCCTTCGGTGCGACTGACTAGGTTTGTCACCTCCTCAAAAGGACGCATGAGCCTACAGGCATTGCGCATGAGCGTCCAGTAACGTGGCAAAAAAATTCCCAGCTCCGCAAAGGCTGTCCTAGCACCCTGGTCATACAAATACTCGTTAACAGCTTTTTCTTGTTGGAGCAGGCGGTCGAACATTAGGAGTGTTGAATTCCAACGTGTCGGGCTGTCTCAAATCAAGCGCCTCACTGGCATGTTTTTTCACCACTGGATATCTGAAAAGTGCGCCATGGCCGTGTAGGAACGCCTGAAATGGCCACACACCTTCCTGGCCTGCTTCAGGACGTCCTCTAAGCCTGAGTACTTATGCAAAAAGCGTTGTACGATCAGATTACACACATGTGCCATGCACGGCACATGTGTCAACTTGCCCAAATGCAATGCCGCCAACAAATTTCTTCCATTGTCACAAACCACTTTGCCGATCTCCAGTTGGTGCGGAGTCAGCCACTGATTCACCTGTGCATTCAGGGTGGACAGGAGTGCTGGTCCGGTGTGACTCTCTGCGTTCAGGCAAGTCAACTCCAAGACGGCGTGACACTGCCGTATCCGGGATGTGGAATAGTACCTGGGGAGCTGGGGGGGTGCCGTTGATGTGGAGCAAGACGCAGCAACAGAAGAGGACTCAGACGAGGAGGTTATGGAAGAGGATGGAGTAGGAGAAGTAGAGGAGGTGGCAGCAAGCCTGCCTGCAAGTCGTGGCGGAGTCACCAACTCCTCTGCAGAGCCACGCATTCCATGCAGGTTTACCCTATGCGCAGTGTAGGTGATATACCTGCCCTAACCATGCTTTGCAGACCAGGTATCAGTGGTCAGATGGACCCTTGCCCCAACACTGTGTGCCAGACATGCCATTACTTCCTTTTGCACAATCGAGTACAGGTTGGGGATTGCCTTTTGTGCAAAGAAATTTCGGCCGGGTACCTTCCACTGCAGTGTCCCAATAGCTACAAATTTTTTGAACGCTCAGACTCCACCAGCTTGTATGGTAAAAGCTGGCGGGCTAAGAGTTCAGTCAAGCCAGCTGTCAGACGCCGGGTAAGCCAGGTAATAAAAACAAAAACTTTTTTGACTGTAATATAATAGCAGTCAGTTTCCTACACGAGTGTGCATTTCAGGGCCTGCACAGTGCCACCACGGGTAAGCCGGGTAAGCCAATGTCACTTTGTGACATTGGCTTCTTACGCTCAAACATGTCCTTGACAGACACCTGACTGTGGGCAGATGAGCGGGAACTGCTCAAGGCAAGAGACGGAGGGGCTGATGGTTGAGAGGGGGCAAGGAGGACAGCAGTGGTTAACGTGGCTGAAGATGCTGGACCAGGAGGAGGGTGGCGGCTTTGATTTTGTGTGCTGCTTGTACTCATGTGTTGATCCCATAGGCATTTGTGATGTGCGATCATGTGCCTTCGCAAAGCAGTTGTACCTAGGTGGACGTTGGACTTCCCACGACTCAGTTTCTTTTGGCACAGGTTGCAAATGGCATTGCTGTTGTCAGAGGCAGACACACAAAAAGAATGCCACACTGCTGAGCTCTGCAATGACGGCATTCTGGTGGTGGCAACAGCATGCTTTGATTGGCGTGCTGTCTTGCTGACCCCGGGTGCCGATGCATGCTCACTGACTGTGCCACTAGCTCCTTGCAATGACCTCCCCCTGCTTCCAACTCGTCTCCTCCTCCTCCTCTCTGTCTCCCCATCTGAACTTTCCCCCTGTTCTTCTTCTCTTCTAGCGGGCACCCACGTGACATCCACGGACGCATCGTCATCATCAACCGCTTCACTTGTATCTGACAACTCAGCAAAGGAAGCAGCAGCGGGTACAACATCATCATCATCACACCATACGTCCATGTGTGTAATGCTGCCTGACTGAGACATATCCCTGTTATCTACATCCTCTGGCAATAATGGTTGCATCGCTCATCACTCATTTCTTCCAACTGATGTGTAAATAACTCCTCTGACATACCAAGTGAAGCTGCTGTGGTGCTAGTGTTGGTGGTGGCGGCAGGCGGGCGAGTGGTAACTTGAGAGGTGCCCGAAGCTAAGCTGGAAGAGGATGGTGCGTCAAGGTTCCGAGTGGAAGCTGTAGAAGATTGGGTGTCCTGTGTTAGCCAGTCAGCTATGTCCTCAGAACTTTTCGAGTTCAGGGTATGTGGCCTCTGAACACTGGGCATTATTCTAGGGCCAAAGGGAATCACAGCCTGCCTCTGCCTGTCAGTTTTTTTTTCAATTAGTGGTACTATGCGTGCAAGCTACTGTGACAACAGATATGAGTGGCACTGTGCAGTGGCACAAGTTGGCAGAGTAGACGCTGTAGGCCTGACACACATGCTTGCAGACAACTAACTGCTATTCAATCGATTACAGTCAAATTTTTTTATTTTTTTTAAATGTACACTACTGTTACACCAGATATGAGTTGCACTGGTGTGACACTGTGTCCTGGCAGGCCCTGAAATGCACACGCGTGAAGGAAACTGACTTCTATTATATTACAGTCCAAAAAGTTTTGTTTTTTTAAAATGCAAGCTATTGTGACACCAGTGAGTGAGTGGTGGCACTGGGCAGGCCCTGAAACGCACACTCGTGAAGGAAACTGACTGCTATTATATTACAGTCAAAAAAGTTTAGTTTTTTTTAAATGCAAGCTATTGTGACACCAGTGAGTGAGTGGTGGCACTGTGCAGGCCCTGAAATGCACACTCGTGTAGGAAACTGACTGCTATTATATTACAGTCAAAAAAGTTTTTGTTTTTATTAAATGCAAGCTATTGTGACACCAGTGAGTGAGTGGTGGCACTGGGCAGGCCCTGAAACGCACACTCGTGAAGGAAACTGACTGCTATTATATTACAGTCAAAAAAGTTTTTTGTTTTTTTTTAATGCAAGCTATTGGGACACCCGTGAGTGAGTGGTGGTACTGGGCATGTCCTGAAATGCACACTCGTGAAGGAAACTGACTGCTATTATATTACAGTCCAAAAAGTTTTGGGTTTTTTAAATGCAAGCTATTGGGACAGCAGTGAGTGAGTGTTGGCACTATGCAGGCCCTGAAACGCACACTCATGAAGGAAACTGACTGCTATTATATTACAGTCAAAAAAGTTTTGTTTTTTTTAAATGCAAGCTATTGGGACACCAGTGAGTGAGTGGTGGCACTGGGCAGGCCCTGAAACGCACACTCGTGAAGGAAACTGACTGCTATTATATTACAGTCAAACAAGTTTTGTTTTTTTTAAATGCAAGCTATTGTGACACCAGTGAGTGAGTGGTGGCACTGGGCAGGCCCTGAAACGCACACTAGTGAAGGAAACTGACTGCTATTATATTACAGTCAAAAAAAGTTTTGTTTTTTTTAAATGCAAGCTAGTGTGACACCAGTGAGTGGTGGCAGCACTGGGCAAGTGGGCACAGTATATGCTGTGAGCCTGACACACAGGCTGGCAGGCAGGCAACTGCAATTACATTACACAGAAAAAAAGCAGACTGATGTTCTAGCCCTAAAAAGGGCTTTTTGGGGTGCTGTCCTTACAGCAGAGATCAGATGAGTCCTTCAGGACTGTAGTGGACACTGAATACACTAGCCTAGCTATCAATTTCCCTATCATATCAGCAGCAGCTACACTGTCCCTCCTCTCACTAAGAATAAAGCTTCACAATGAATGTAAAATGGATGCTGTCCAGGAGGTGGGAGGGTGTAGGAGGGAGGGTCTGCTGCTGATTGGCTGGAATGTGTCTGCTGACTGTACAGGGTCAAAGTTTACTCAATGATGATGAATAGGGGGCGGACCGAACAGCGCATATGTTCGCCATCCGTGGTGAACGCAAACAAGCGCTGTTCGCCGGGAACTATGCGCCTGCGAACCGTTCGGGACATCACTATTCGCAACCTATTTTTTTAAACAGAGTCCTTATGTTGTTAATGGGTTACCGTGTAAGCTCAGTAGAGGAGCGCTTTTCACCTGATCTATCAGAGTTAGTTGATACTGGTCAAGTAATTGAGCTGGGCACCACTTGTTACCTGTAGGGAATAGTTGTATGTTGATAGGTGGTCCCATTTGATTTGTTTTAGACTTTCGTAATGTTAAAGTATAGTGGTCTCCTATTTTGTTTGGGTCAGCAATTTTTAGCATGTTGGAAGTGTCTTTTGCTTTCTCTACTGTGAGCTCATTGGGTTGTAGAAAACCATAAAAGGCCAGAAGTATAGCAATTTTAATTGTAATGTTCATTTCTGTTTCGAAAGGTTTTGTATACAAAGATATCGGATAATGCTCTGAATTTTTTTACCATCTATTGGTTGTCGTTTTATAGGTTTCAAACCCTGTTTGAAAGAGCGCTCATTCTCTGATTGGTCGCCTACACCCTGCAGCGACCAATCAGTGACCAGTGTTCATGCCGACCAATCAGGAGAATGGCGCAAACCCAGTTTGAATGGCGGCCACCCAGGTGAAGCACACGCCAGTTGTTTCCCTTGTGGTTTGTGGTTTTCACACCTCATTATGAGGTGTGAACGTTCTAGATAGACATTCTAAATGAGGTGTCAGGGTGTTTTACCTGCTCCCCATTCGGAAGAGCTCATACGAACGGCTGCTGTTCCACTTTAGACAGGGAGCAGGTAAAAACACACGAATAAAACACAGTTAAATGTAGATACATGGGGAAACACAGAGTACAAGGGAAAATCGTGAGAGTAAACATTGGGAACACAAAATACAAGGCCAAAACATATGAATATTCCGTGGGCATGGCACTTAGTGGCGGTGCCTCGCCTCAGAGGACCTATTCTTATTGATTATTTTGCAGGTCGCTATATTGTCTGTATAGCATTTTACTGATTTATCCCTCCAAAGGTGGACCCATACTCAAGTCTCTACCACTCTCTGCCACTATGGGACATAGTTCAGGTTCTGAACCACCTGTCTCCAAAGATGGCTGCAAATCCTGAGTGGGCTGCAGCGTCTGTCAATAACACCGGGGAGTCATCTGACAAAGGCAGGATGAACATGTTTTTCACCCTTCCAGTCTTACAAGAATTGATGCTACATGGTCAAATCTACCATAGCCTGTATGGCCAGTATGACTATGCTGTCGTCGTTTGGTAGGTTTGGTAAAAGACTAAGTAGATGTGAAATAAAAGCGCGACCATGCTGGATAATTTTCAAATAACCCAGGAGAGATTGGAGGTCTTTCCAAGAACTGGTTCCTCTGATGAGGAATAATTCGATCTCTGCCTTGATTCTCTGAACCTTGTCATTGGGGAGACTAGCTTGCATCATGGTTGAGTCTAAGCATATACCTAAAAACGTCAGTTTGGTGGTGGGACCTACGGTTTTGTCAGTAGCTACCGGCACTCCTAGAGTGGTAAATAGTGCTACTGTTTTGATTATACTTTGAAGAGTGCTTTTGGGGTTTTCTACTGTCAGAAAGTTGTCCAAGTAATGAATTATGACTGGACAACAACTGATGTTTAGCAGAAGCCAGCACAGAGTTTCTGTAAACAGATCAAATAACTTGGGGCTACTTTTGGCCCTGAAAGTTAAGCAGTTAGCAAAATAATAAAGACCTTTCCATCTTATTCCATGCAAATGCCACAGAAATGGATGTGTCGGAAGCAGCTTGAAGGCTTCCCCAGCCTTCAAGATTGCCTATATGGCATTGTCTACCATGGCATACTGCAATGAAAATTCCTCAGACGGTATCAGTGAGTTTAGACTTGGAACATTAATGGAATGCGGAGGTCAATTATCAAGCGTTTTTTATTGTTATATTTTCCAGTAGCAATGCCCAAGGGGTTGGTTCACCAACATGTAAAAGGTGGTTGTTGAAATGGACCAGGCATTAAACCATTTTTTGACAATAAATGATTATCTGCTGTTGTTGGGTCTATTGTGGCTGATTGCAGATTGTTGCATTCGAATGTACCTGCTGGCAGTGCAATTAACCCCATGTGAAACCCCTCCTTGAAACCTGTGAGTAGAAATTAAACTAGATCCTGTGAAGGGTTAGAGTTAAGGTAAATTGCTAACGTGTCAACCTGTACTTCAGTTAGTCATTTCCTAGGAAAAAGGCGGTTTGGGCACAAAGTCTTGGTGCGAGGCCGGAAACAGGTGGATCAGACATGCAACAACCTGCAGGCGTTGAAACTGCAGCCACTTGCGTTAAAGATCTGTGCCTTGCCCAAAAACGCTGTAGGTCTCCCAATCTTATCTTTTAGTCACTTCTGTTAGTTGTTACTGGTACTGGGGTGGCATAGCTGGTAGTTGGTAAACTGGGCTCGCTGGAGCACAAATTCGTAGAGTGGAAGTTTGAAGTGCAAATTGCACAAGCTGGTGGTACTAGCCTGGCAAAGTAGGGACAAAACAACCCAGTGTCCATGTGACTCCAGTCTATTCTGATATGGAATTGCACAAAGGTTGTCGCTGACTTGCCTGGAACTATATGTGGGAGTCGTAAAAAGTAAAACCACCATACTTGTGTCCCAGATCTACCAATTTGTGCATGTACAAGTCCAGTTCCTCTCTGTGTAGGGAACATTTCAACATATCCTGTCTCTAAACAAACCGAATGCTAGTATGAACTCTGGTATAGACAACTTGTTAATTAATCTTTTGCTTTGAGTACCACTGGTAGGTCACCATATTTGTATGTTTTGTTTTCCACTATGTCTTGTGACGCTATCAATAATGACATGAGATTTACATCTTTGCCCTCCAATATTTCTTTTTTGATGCTGGGTGGGACTATGTGTGCTGGTGTGATAATATGTGTAGTGGGAACCTGTGAAGTCTGTGTACCTGTGACATTACCCTGATAGATAATTTGGGCAATGCTTTGTGTATTATTATTTTATTATTATTTTATTATTTATATATCGCCAGCAAAACTCTGCAGCGCTGTACAATGGGTGGACTAACAGACACGTAATTGTAACCAGACAAATGGACGCACAGGAACAGAGGGGTTGAGGGTCCTGCTCAATGAGCTTACATACTAGAGGGAGTGGGGTGTAGTGACACAAAGGGTATAAGTAGGGGTAATGAAATAGGTTGCTAGAAAAGTATTCACTGGGAACTTAGTAGGTTATTTTTGAAAGTTGCAGGAGAGGAGTCGTGGGGGGGAGGGGGAAATTAAAGTTTGCTAAAAGTTTAACTGATTTGCTTTCCTGGTGAAGTGTGTTTTCAAAGATTTTTTGAAGGAGTGGAGACTGGGTGAAAGTCTAATGGAGAAGGATTCCACAGAAAAGGTGCAGCCCTGGAGAAGTCTTGAAGGCGAACATCAGATGTGGGAGTATGGACAGAGGATAGACATAGGTCTTCGGCAGAGCGCAAGGGCCTCGACGGGACATACTTGTGTATTAGGGAGGATAGGTAGGTTGGAGCAGCATTATGTAGGGACTTGAAAGCAAACACCAGAATCTTAAATTGAACTAGAAGCCAATGTAGGGACTGACAAAGGGTGTCCGCATGGGAGGTGCGGGCGAACAAGAAAATGAGCCTTGCCGTTGTGCTCATAATAGATTGCAGCGGTGAAATCTGGGAACAGGTAAGACCAAGGGGATTGCAGTAGTCAAGATGAGAAAGAATAGCGGCATGGACCAGTACCTTTGCCACATCTGGTGTTAAATAGGGGCGGATGCGAGCTATGTTTTTGAGATGGAAGTGGCAGGATTTGGCGATCGACTGGACATGAGGGGTGAAAGTGATATTGGAGTCAAAGAGAACACATAGGCAGCGAGCCTGCAAGGTAGAGGTAGTGGTGGCGCCATTGACTTGGAGAGAGACAGACATGGGAGTAGCAACACTTGAGGGACGAAAAACCAGAAGTTCTGTTTTGGACAGGTTGAGTTTAAGGAAGTGAGCAACCATCAAATTGGAAATCACGGTGAGGCAGTCAGACATACGAGTCAAAATTGGCGAGAGAGATCATAAGAGGACAGGTAGATTTGCATGTCATTTGCATATAAATGATATTGGAAGCCAAAGGAGCTGATGAGTTTACCAAGGGAAGCAGTATAGATGGTGAACAGTAGGGGACCAAGGACTGAACCTTCGGGAACACCAACAGAGATGGGTTGGGGAGAAGAGGCAGAGCCAGAGAAAGAAACATTGAAAAAGCACTGGGAGAGGTAGGAGGAGCACCATGCGAGAGCAGTATCTCATAGACCGAGATTATAGAGAATGAGAAGAAGCTGTTGATGATCAACAGTATCAAAGGCAGCAGAAAGATCAAGGAGAATTAGGATAGAGTAATGGCCGTGAGATTTAGAAGCGATTAAATCGTTGGCTACTTTGGTCACAGCTGTTTCAACAGATTGACAAGCGCAGACTCCAGACTGAAGGAGGTCAAGCAGAGAGTTGGATTCAAGGAAGTCTGTCAATTTTGCATACACAACTCTCTCAAAGATCTTGGAGGCAAACGGCAGTAGCGATATAGGGAGGTAGTTGGATGGGGAGTTGGGGTTGAGGTTGGGCTTTTTCAGAATTGTGTTATGGTTGCATGCTTGAAGGGTGAAGGAAATGTGCCTGAGGAAAGGGAGAGATTGAAAATTTTAGTGTGAGGAAGAGCAAGAGAGCAAGACAGGGTGCAGATGAGATATGAGGAAATAGGATCGAGGGAACAGGTGGTGGGGCGGGAGGACCGGAACAGAGCGGAAACCTCTTCTGTTGTCATGGCAATATATACATTTAAAATAAGAAAATAAAACAATAATCTCTAAATATAAAAAAACACACAACAGCAGAAATAACCGGGTATGTAAAATATAATGTAATGCTGGTCCGGCAGAAGGCAGGTCTCTGTGTTGCTTGCAAGTCCTGGATACATTTTAAATCAGGTGTAGGACGGATAGCTAGGGGAAACCACAGTAGCTGGCACTGGAGATTCCAACGTCTCCATTCTTTGGTTTAAGCTATTAATGGATGACAGAATGGAAGAATGGAATCGTTTTTTTGTGATTTGCGTCAACTGGCATCTCTTTAAATGCCGGGTGGCAAAGAACTTAGCTACTAGTGAGATGGTGAGGCCCTGCTAATTGCCAAGTGGCAGATAGAGGTGCTGTCTATGATTTGGCCCTGTGCTGTGCCATTAAAACGTAAGCAGGGTGTAGGCCTCTGGGGAGCTTGATAAAACAGTGAAAGGATAAGGATGGTGAAGCCCTTTATAATCCTCTTAGCAGAGTGTTGTGAGACTATAGCTATGATTTGGACCGATGGGTGAAAATATCTCCATGTGAGGATGGGAGTTGGTCTCGCAGAAACTTCAAAAGTACTTTAACCTGTATATGGGGTCGCTCCAGTACCCTAACTGCCAGTTAACGATGCGTGGGGTAAAAGGTATAAATGATATAGCAAACCTTATGACTTGATATCTGATTTTTTTTTAGTATATATAACCTTTTGATAACCAAAACTGTGGTTGGTAACTTAACCATGAATGTATAGCTGATTAATATTAGTTAAGAGTGATACATACCTGTGTATACCGATTCTCCTCTTAAGGGGTTGTAACTATGGTTGGGTTACTTCTAATAGATTAAGGGTTTGAAATAAAGCTTACTTTTAACTTTAAATGAAATGGTGTGATTGTATTATATAATTAGCTATATGTACCTGGTAAGTAGTTTGTTTGTACGTAAGAAATTATTTGAGCTTTGTGCAAATGTTTAATGTTAATTTGTAATTGACATACTTATATGTTTGTGCGATTACGTATTTTGTTTAGACTCCGGTTATTGTATAAACCGATTACACGTAATATGGTCTTTTGCGTTATAGAGCTAAGTATGCTTGGAGCTGTAGGTCTATGTTGGCTTACGTGACTTAATATGTATGTTGTTCTATTTAATGGTATTTCTAGGCTAGTATGCATAATTTAACTTAACTATTTTAATTGTGTGTGGCTTATTCAAGTGACCATGTTATGCAGATGTCAACTAGTATAATATGGAATGTAACTTACGGGTTTGTATATATGTGGTAAAGATAGCATATTTGGATAGATGCTAGCGTACCCGCTTGAAGAGGTACTGAAGACTGATAATATTTCTGACTGGAATTTACTCGTATTATGATATGTCATGACTTTTTACCGGGATTTTAGGTTTTAATGCCGAGTATATATTATATCTTAACTATCAAGGTTATACTTTAACATTTCCCTCCCACGCCTAGAAACCGCACAAGTTTTAATGTACCAAGTATACAAGGAAAATTAATGTAATAGGTTGGTAACCGAAAAAGTATTGATCTGAATTCTGAACATACATAATGACAATACGAGCATACTTTGGTATACATAAAATAATTCCCAACTGATTGACCATATTTAAGTATTTTTAGCCAACACAGGTACTACTTGACTAGAGCAAAACCACATTTAATTAAAGTGTAATAGATTTTAATACGTAATAAAACATATCAGGCCACAACTACATCTCTTGTTTGCCCCAGTGAAAATCATCTATATTTATGACAACAGTAGTGTAACAGTTTATAATTTCTATGTAGTTAGTCATTTTTGACAGTAGATGGCAGTGTTGGTGCATGTCATTTATATAGGGCTTTGTAACACTGATTTAGCCGAATGAAGTGCTTGGTTTTAGACTTGCAAGGTGAGAGTAGCCATATAGGGTTTCTTCTATATGACTTAATGTGTATTGGGTGAATTAATTTTATTTGTTTAACTGCGTTCGTGCCTAGTGGTTCGTGAGTTACATATTGATGTCTTATTGCGTTCAGTAGTTCTAATGCGTTCGCATGTGCTCACTGTTACTGGGGGCTTGGAAGCTGACCCAAAATTCGTGAAGGTTCCCTGGAACCTAGGTGGCGCTGGGAGCGACCGTGTTTGAGCGGTTGAAGCTGGCTTCGGTGATCCGCGGCGCAAGAGCCGGCTGGATTTCCTGGACAGCATCCTGGCTGTAACTGGGTCTGGGAAAGCCACAAGGGAAATTCTTCTGGCCGGAAGTGACCAATCAACGTCAACCTGGAATATAGGTATGTTTGGGTTTATATAGGCCGGATCAACCCCTCCCACAACTCCAGGCTCCGCCTTACTATATATATGTTGGTTGCACTCACGGTCTTCAATCAAATGTTTCCTTTATTCAAACATAGTTATTCTAAAAGGGGGGGAGGTGGAAGAGGGAGGGAAAGGAAAAGAGAGAAAAGAGGGGGAGGGAGGTAAACAAAAAAGAAAAGAAAGAAGAAAAAAAAATGATGCAACATGAACATTTATGCTAAAAAAAAAAAAAGGCAACAAAGTAAGGGTCACCGAGTAGGGGCTGACAGGGGGTGCAGAGGGACGAGGGATTTGGGGAACAACGACAGCGAACCCCAGACTAACCATGGCCCATCCTAAGTCACACTAAGCTACGGGGTGAAGGGAGACAATGGCTGCAGCTCCACAAAACAGCCCATTACCGCACACTTCTCACACACCCTACCAATGTTATGCTACTCCTTCTCAGGAAACTTAGCCACACTACGAGATGGCACTGCCCCGTTGACAAAACCCAGTCCCGAAGCAGGTGTAAGGAAACTGGGGGAGGGGGAGTAAGACTGGGAAGAAGAGGCAAGGAGCCGAGGAATTGTGGCTACAACCTGTTCTAGGGTGTGAGGCTCCGTTTGGGCATATGTGCTACCTTTGGGGGGAATGGCATAGTCGGGTCGAATAATTTGTCTAGTATGTGGACTTGAAAGCATGCTGATTGGGATGAGGTTATCTCTGTAGGTGGTATGACATACGTTGCGATATTTGTGAGCTAATTTAAGGATGAGGTGGCAAAAGGATATGTACACCACCAAGGTATGATGGAATACGTGATGACAAAATTACAGGCCGAAGTGCCCCATGTCGGTAGTGTCCAGAGCTCTGTTATTTGAACCGCAGATATTGGCAGAGTGTCACATGAGCCACCAACGGAACAAGGCCATAATATGACCTAATGAAGTATAATTCTAATTGTTTTGTGGTACTGTAGGTTGTTTGGTAGCGTATGGTGTGCTTGGTATCATGTCAGCAAGTGGGATCAAGTCAAATCAACAGCTACCATGAAAGGTAGCCTGTATAAGTATGTGGACAATATGGAGTTGCTGTGTTGCAAGCCAGTGAACTACGAAAATAACTGTGTAAATGAGTAGGGAGAACTTCACAACCTGCTGTGTTGTCTGGGTAGCATTTGACAGATACTCACTCCATAAAAACCCCTGGCAAACAGTGGCTGTGTGGACATACTACAGTATATTAAAAGTATAGTATATTAAAAAAAAAAAAAGAAAATTAAAAAGCAAGTGGGGCTACAAGTCACAGAACCAATGATTTAAAATGGCAGTAGATCCTGTGTGACAGCTGTATCTGCAATATAAAAGGGGAATTAACAGACTGTGGGAATGGACGTGGCATCCTGTTCCTATGAGAAATAAACATTTTTTGACCACCTAAAACAGGCGTGACAAGCATGGCAGGGTTAATGTAGGCGGATGACCAGGGAGTTGGCGAAGTAGTCCGATAATGTAGTTGCGACCTCCCAGTATGGTGTGCATGACAAGGTTCAGAGAACCAAGGAGACTGAAGATACCTATTATAACAGGCATTCCCAGAGATTGTCTTCATGGTGCCTGGTACACCAGACCCTGCCTATGGTTAGGCAGTACTTTGTCCCATTGAGTCCAGTTAATTACACAGCAAATTAGACTGCTGGAGGAGGCTACGGAAAACTTGGGATATTTGAACCCCTAGGGAAAAAAGTTGGGCCATGTGTACTTGCATGCTTCGGGGCATAGAAAATGGTACTTTTAAACTAAGTATAATTACACAGCAAATTAGACTGCTGGAGGAGGCTACGGAAAACTTGGGATATTTGAACCCCTAGGGAAAAAAGTTGGGCCATGTGTACTTGCATGCTTCGGGGCATAGAAAATGGTACTTTTAAACTAAGTATAACTAGACTAGTGAAAGGGAAGGGTGAGTAATAGAAGTAAAGGCCAGTTGTCGAAGTTAACTTCTAAAATGGTCATGGTCTGTGAAAAGGAGGATAGAGCTCATGGTTTGGTGTAGCAGAGAAACAGGGAGCAGATGTGGTGTAATCCATAAGCAATACCATTATATATTGTGAGAGCTGTATCCCTATCTCTGGAACATAATAGGTCTTGTAACAGAGATCCATTTGTCCCTAAAGACGTTAGAATGTATGAGATAGCGTATTTATATAGACCAAGAGTATGCTCTATGGTCCCTAGTTCAAACTACTGGCTAGACTCTGGGAGATATGTCTTCTTCAGCTTAACATGAATCGTATAAAGGGGGTGAACAGATGTCAGATTACGCGTGGTGGATTCACAAAATGTTGCTAAAGTTATCTGAGAAGTAAATTTCAGGGTTGGTAATCATGGCAGCTGAATAGTAATAGATATTATTATCATAGGCGTGCGCACGGGGTGTGCCGGGTGTGCCTGGGCACACCCTAATCCCCGCGGCACACCTATGTATATTGAGACCAGCAGGGGAGATCTCAGGATCTCCCCTGTCGGCTCATGCAGAGCCGGCGCTATCCGAGCGCCGGCTCTGCTCTCAGCCTCCCTCCCCACTGACCCACATGCAGGGAGGGAGGCAGGAGAGGACCCGGCGGAGCTATTGCCGGCAGCTCCGCCGGGTTCCTCTCGCGAGATATGGGGGCTAGAGTTCACTCTCCACTGGACCACCAGGGATCACAGCAGCAAGGATCCCCTCCTCCACTGGACCACCAGGGAAGGAAGCAGCAGCACGATCCCCCCTCCCTACAAAAGGTAAGAAGGGAGGGGGGATAGCAAATAATGTACCCCCACCTCCACCCCCACAATCAGCCACCAACACACATACAGCACCCACAGACATACACAGTACCCACACACATACAGCACCCACACACATACAGCACCCACAGACACACACAGCACCCACAGACATACAGCACCCACACACATACAGCACCCACACACATACAGCACCCACAGACATACACAGCACCCACACACACAGTACATTAACAGCACCCTCACAAGCGCACACACAAACAGCACCCTCACACACAGTACATTAACAGCATCCTCACAAGCACGCACACACAAACACCCTCACCCACATAGCACACTACCAGCATCGTCACACACACATCACACTAACAGCACCCTCACACAGCACACACACAGCAGTGTGTTTATGTGTGTATATATATATATATATATATATACATATACATATATATATATATATATATATATACATACATACATACATACATACATACATACATACATACATACATACATACATATATGCGGCGTGTGCTTGTGCTTTAGGGTGCACACCCTAATGCAATAGGCTGCGCACGCCTATGATTATTATCACCCAATTAACGCTACTAATTTTATTGACCTGAGAGGGATGAAGAGCCTTTGCAGAATTTGAACCTGTGAACTTGCATTTTTGAAGAGACTTTGTAGTCAAGGAATTTACCAACTGAGTTACCTCACCAGCTAGCAATATTTAACCCTGTAACTTTGCAAAAGCACCAAAAAACCTGTACTTGCAAATTAAATTATTGTGCAGAAGTGGTACACATATATACAGTTGATGGACTTTTTCAAGGCAACCACATTGAAACATAAAACAGAATATATAGGCAGTAAATGGAAGTGATTCACCACAAAGTATAATCAATTAGCATAATTGATTATATGCTATATGAAATACTCATACGTTTGCAATACCTGAAATTATGGTGGATTCACAAAATGTTGCTAAAGTTATCTGAGAATAGGGTCAGTTTACCCATACAAATAAATGTATCCATAAAACCAGTGATAAATGAGAGCCACCAGTGATTCCCTAAGTGAAAATATGCATGTGACGAAGTACCCTTCGCCACTTGGTCCTGGAGAGGCTTGCTTGCCAGCCTCCTGCCATGTGACTATGGTCCCTGGGCTGTATTGCCCTTTAAGGAACTGATTTGGGCATAATGGATTTTTATAATGCTCTTTCTGGCCCTTTAATTACTTTGGAGCAGTGTTGCAACTTTAAATTGGCACTTCGGATACAGCCGAAGTGCCGAAGTAGTCGAAGTGGCCGCCATCTGACAAACGAACACGTGGCCATTTTAACTCATTCAAACGCGGTCAGCGGTGTGTGCAACCAAATCTATGGAACTGTTTTCGGCTACCCAATTGCACGAACACCGCTGACCTGTACCTTCTTCTCCACTTCGACACTGCAGCTGGAGGCTAAATCCCATTCGAAGACCGACCGCACAGCCCAAATCCATGGAACTGTTTTGGGCATGAATATGTGCTTGCGGTCTGTCATTAAGGACGTCCGACTAATTTTTGAACTACTGGACAGATTTTTATGATTTTTGAGTATGTTTATATTTAAAGGACGCTGATTATTAATATTGCATGTATACTTTTAACCCGTTAAGGACACATGACATGTGTGACATGTCATGATTCCCTTTTATTCCAGAAGTTTGGTCCTTAAGGGGTTAAAGTTATAAGAATTGTGTAAAAACGGTATATTTTCTGCCTGTGATGATTAAGTTAGTCTATTGTGTTGAGATAATTGTATCACAGACAGAGGGGAGGATTTCTGCTGGGATGAATGAGGGTGGTTTACTTTATTGTATGTGTTGTAATGTTTTTATTGGTTGTTCTGCAAAACCCTGTGGGCGGTCCTGTATGTGTAAGACTCCCTTTGGTTCTAATTAAACACAGATCTTCTTGACCCTTAACACATAGTCTTGCCTCGTGATTGGAGGGGACAGCTATACTCACACTGGGGATTGCTATGCTCTGCATACTCCCCTGAGCTTTAATCACTTAGCTCTTGTAAGAGCTGGTTCCTGATATACTCTCCTGGAGGAGAGGTCTTCACCACACGGTCCTGGAGGACAGAGGCTAATCCAGGGTGGAAGGAAGATGGCGAGACTCCAGTTAAGCTACGGCGGTTGTGGAGTCTGCGGTATTTGTGGTGTCCGGTGCAGTGCTTGTGGTCCTCGGCGCAAGCTAGGAAGCGTCCATCAACGGAAAGGTACTCGGACGGATACGGGGAGTTCCATTACAATGCATAACGTGAAGTGTAAGAAAGTGTAAAAAGTAAATCAACAAAAGTATATACAGGCTGCAAAGTCATGGAAAACAATACATAATTAAAGCAAGCAAGCAAATAAATAATTAAATGAATGAATAAACAAACATGGTTTATTGCTTTATTTATTTGTTTGTTTACATGACCTATGGTGGCTAACATTAATTGCTTTGTTTAACTGTAGTGTAACAGGTTTTATGGCGGACTCCCATATACCCATGGGGTCCCTCACCCTAGTTACCTCTTTACAATCTGCAGGATGATCTTGAGTCTCTGCTACCTGGCAGTGCCTCCATCCAGCAGGGTATCCAGGGTGTGGATGCGGAGTCCCACTGGGAACATATCTACACAATTGATAAAAACTATACAGAGCTAGCTTACGTATTACACAGCCATACACTATACAATTAAATAACAGAGAAATAACATTTAAGACTGGGTATTTCTCAGGTCTCTCACACTGCCATGGACTTGTCACCAAATGTCTGCTCTACGCTTATTTATTTATAAAATATTTCAACAGGAAGGATACATTGAGATTTCTCTCGGTTTCAAGTATGTCCTGGATCCACAAAACATTGCATTGATACAATAGGGTACAATAAAATACAAAAACAATATTAATACACAACATATACAAAATTTAACATAAAACAGGTAGGAAATATATAATCAACCATTACAGGTGCATTCTGTTTTAAGATATGTAGGGCTCTCTTAAAGGACTTGGGGAAGATTTTAAAGTGTGCAGGAGGTCGTTCCATTATTGTGGTTGTAGCGGATGGCACTGGGCTGTCCTGCAAATGTCTTGTGAATAACTGCATTCGTGTGATCTGCTAGTTTTATATGTGTTTAAAAGAATTGTATTCCTCTGATTGTTCGGTAGAATCATTCGAATAAACTAAGGGAATGAAACTACCGAACAATCAGACCTCCCCTGTGTTAAGTGTGTCCTCAATTACCCGTTGCAACATTGTTGCGAATGGGTAATTGACAAGTTAAGTAGCCATCCTTTGTTCTCGGGGGTGGCCGCCATTCGACAAACGAACACGTGGCGGCGGCCATTTTAAAACTCCTGAACAGCGGTGTTTTGCCGTCGAGTGTCTCGAACTCAAATCGGACACTCGACTAGGCGAACACCGCTGAAACCTCCACAAGCCCGGTCCGTTCGGTTACAAACTACCGAACGGCCCCTCGTTCGGTAGATAGAAAGAACCGAACGAGGGGATTCAGGCGAACCCTCCCTAGCCTCTATAGCTAGAGGCTTTCATGCAGTTTGTTCCCTTATTCCAGGACCGACCACAGGGCCCATTCGCATGGAACCGCATTCGGCTATTTCAGTCAGTGCGGTCGGTCATTTTATTCCCTCCATAGATTTCCCGAACCCCTGGTCTGATCTGGGTGATTTTTGGATATGTTGTTCACCCAGATCAGGGCTATCAGGGGATGTAGGATTTAAAGGGGTACCCCTATGTTTAGGGGTACATCCAGAAACAGGGGGGAATTGCTAGCCTGGATAAGGGGATTGTGATGCTGGCTGAGGGGAGGAGATGTGTGGGAGGTTACCAGGACAGGATTGGCTACTTTACTAATGATTGTAAATCCCTCCCTTGCATGGGAGCATGCTTTAAAAGGACACTGTGGATTAAAAGATTTCAGTTCTGCTCCTGAAACTGTGTGTCATCCAGTTATTGGGATTGCTGTGGGATATTGCTGTTATTTTACCTGCTGGAAACCTTGCCTGTGGATTTACTATTTACTTGTTCCTGAGCCTCACTTGGATTATAAGTGGAGATAACCTGGGGAATATTGCATCTCCGCTACAATACAGTTCATAATAATTACAATGTGTAGGAAACATTACAAAAATAAATATTGAACAAACATGTAAAATTGTATGCTAAAAGAAAAAAGAGAATGATTAGAAATATGGTAAACCATATAATTAATATGGTAAAACATATAACTCCCATATGAGTAAATGTCATGTAAAGTGGTAATAAGTGCCATTTAGAGTATTAGCTGGGACAGTTGGGAAATTAAATAATAAAAAATATATATTAAATTAAAAAAAAATTATAATAAAAAATAAAAAAATGAATGAAACAGTACATCTGGGACTATGCTCCAAGGTAAGATGAGGTCTCTATGATAAAAAACTCTAAAATTTCAAAAATTACACTTTAATTTAAAAAAATGACAGAGCTCAAAATCTTGAGTCCGTATGGGATTAAAGGGTTAAATTCAAAAATATATTTTATCTCTGCTTGTCCCAGCTTTTTGATGTAGTCACCACCTCTCCAATCATTATTCACCTTTGGATGGAGATGGATCGGCATTGTGGTGGTTTCTAAAATGCAATGATACTTGATGTTGCTCAAACTTGCGTTTAATGTTATATACATGCTCCGCTATCCTCGTGCAGAAAGGTGGGGTGGTACGTCCAATATAACTGAGACTGCTTGGGCATGTGAGCATTTATATAACCCCACTAGAATGACAGGTAATTCATTCTTTAATGTTATAACAGTTACCATTAACTTCATATTGTGAGATATGACGTCTCTTTGATTTTGTAGTTTGGCAAACTTTGCACCTACCACATCCAAAAAAAACTATATATTGTTAAAAGAAATACTACTATTCTCCTCTTTTCTTTTTAAAATAGTATTGTCAGTTAAAACTCTTTTTAAATTAGGCATACCCCTATGTATAATTTTTGGTGATGCTAGTAGAATCTCTTTAAGAACTGGGTTATTTACTAACAGGTGCCAATTTTTTTTTTTAATTATATTTCTTACTTTGCCATTGTGATTGCCTGAAAACTGGCAAAGGAAAGGGACTGAGTTGGCTTTGCCCTTAAAGGACCACTATAGTGCCAGGAAAACATCCTCGTTTTCCTGGCACTATAGTGCCCTGAGGGTGCCCCCACCCTCAGGGACCCCCTCCCGCCCGGCTCTGGAAGGGGGAAAGGGGTAAAAACTTACCTTTTTCCAGCGCTGGGCGGAGAGCTCTCCTCCTCCTCTCCGCCTCCGTTACGCCCCGCCGGCTGAATGCGCACGCGCGGCAAGAGCTGCGCGCGCATTCAGCCGGTCTCATAGGAAAGCATTTGCAATGCTTTCCTATGGACGCTTGCGTGCTCTCACTGTGATTTTCACAGTGAGAAGCACGCAAGCGCCTCTAGTGGCTGTCAATGAGACAGCCACTAGAGGATTAGGGGGAAGGCTTAACCCATTCATAATTATAGCAGTTTCTCTGAAACTGCTATAATTATGAAAAAATGGGTTAACCCTAGAAGGACCTGGCACCCAGACCACTTCATTAAGCTGAAGTGGTCTGGGTGCCTAGAGTGGTCATTTAAGATCTTTAATTTTATATTCTAATAGTTCCTCTCTTTTAATGTGATACACAGAGTCCAGAGCCTCACGTAGGAAGTTGTTATTATAACCTCCTTTCAAAAACTCTTGTCTGATTTTTTTTTTTTATCCTTGGCTAATAAAAACTTCTCATTCTGTGCAGTTGCGTTTGAGTCTAGTATACTAACTCTTCGGCACAATTTCAAGCCAAGGGCTAAAATGGAAGCTGTTTTTTTTTATGTAACTATTTACATCAACGGTCTTAAAGAAGGTTTTTGTTTTGATTGTCTCATCTTGTATATAAATGGAGAGGTCATAAAAATCTATTTCTGTACTGCTGTATTTGAAAGACAAGGTGATGCCCCAATCGTTAGTGCTCAGATAACTAATAAATTGTTGGAGTAGTGATTCTCCACCTCTCCTGATAAATAGCAAGTGATCAATGTATCTCTTACACCAGGTGTGCTGCCCTGCTTCTCCCCTTGCCCAGGCAAACTGATTCCCAGTGTACCATGAACAAGTTGGCAAATCTGGTGCTAATTGCTGTGCCACATTTTTGCAAATAGAAGCTGTCATAGAATCAGAAATAGTTGTTATTGAGGATAAGCTGGATAGCTTCCAAAACAAACTGCCTCTGAATTTCTGCATATTGGGTTTTCTCGAGAAAGGTGTTGACAGCTCGGGTTCCGAGTTCGTGCCTAATTACAGTGTATAATGAGGAAACGTCTGCTGTGACCGATAAAAAATATTTTTGCCATTTAACTGTAACACATTAGTCATGTCTCTCACATATTAAGGGCAACTCTTCAACCAACGGCTGAAGGATAGTCGGCTTGACACAGAGTTGATTCCCGATATTATTGCCCTGGCTGGAAGATTGGAAATGTGTTCATACATCTTGGGCAAAAAATAGAACACAGAGATCCCAGCGTGTTTTATGTCCAAGTATTGCCGTTCCTTTTTATTTAAAATATCCAAAGTGAAACCTTTCTCAATAAGTGTCAAAAACTTTGTTTATATATTATTGCTCAGATCTGATCACAATTTTTGGTAGGTGGCATTGTCATCTAGAAGCCTAAAAGATTCTCCAAGGTAGAACTTTGGCTCATGATGACAATACCACCCCCTTTGTCGGGCAGTTTAATGACTATGTTGGTATCTTTTCTTATCTCCTCTAGAGCCTTACGTTCTTGTACATTGAGTTTGTGTTGATATTTGTTGAGAGGTTTAATTAAATTAATTTCACGGTTAACCATTTTTTGAAACACAACCATGTCATACGACATGCCATTTCGGAAATAATTTTCATCTATCTTTTAGTGTAGTATGTACAATAGTGGGATCTTGTTCAATCTGAGGAAGGGCAGTTGCCTTTTCCTAAATAAAAAACTTTTTCAGTCACAGATTTCTATAAAATTTGGAAAATTTTGGAAAATCTTTTGAAAGATTTTAATTTATCGATTCCCCCTAAGGGGGCAAATTTAAGGCCCTTGTTTAATAAACTAATATGATTTTTATCTAGACTTTTATTGGATAGATTGAAAATCCCTATCGGTTGAATTGCCCCTCTCTCCCCCTTATTCTTTTGGTTTGTGAAGGGGGGGGGGGGAGGGAATTCCCAGTTTCTCCTTCTCTTGTCTAAAAAAACATTTCTTTCCTTATCTCTTTGAGACAAAGGGGAATAATTATTCCTCAAAGGGATGGTGTCATTTCTTACAGGAGTAGTGTAATTGGCCTTATTAGGTCTATTTCCATGGCGTGTCTGGACCTGCCAGTTCCAGGAGTCTGTTGCATTATTTTCTCTGTTGGGGGTGGGGGAGTCTCTCCTGTCTTTTTCTATTTGTGAAAATAGAAAACTTCCCACTTTCGATAGAAATAATGAAAATTTCATGGACAATCTTTCCCTTCAGACCATGACTTTTATCATTAAACGCAGACAATTAACCCTTAGAGAGTTTTACAAACAAATACCTTCGACAAGAATGTGAAAAACAGAAATTAAATGAGTGATAAATTGGATAAAATAGAAAATGAGGTTAAACATAAGCATTAAACAAAAGAAGTATAAAAGAGATATTTACGACTACACTACCAAAACAACTTATGTAAAAAAATACACAAATTTTAAAGGTACAGGGAGAAACAAGACATTTTAACTGCAATTTTAACAGGAATTTTAAACAAAGGGAAAGACAATATGATAAAAAGAAACAGACAGGAAAGACCCCCCAACAACAGAGAAAATGGTGCAACAGACTCCTGGAACTACAAAACAAAAGATACACAGTGGCTATAGTGCTTGGTGCTCAAAACATTTAATCCACACCTCAAATAGAATACAAAACACTAAAACAATTGGGAGTGGAGCACAATAAGTAAAAAAAAAAAAAATCAGACATACATATCTATCTACGTATAATGGGTTGATTCTATAAAAACACAAAAGAAAACTAATAGTGTAAATATGTATAACAAATACAGGGTGTGCAGAATTATTAGGCAAATGAGTATTTTGACCACATCATCCTCTTTATGCATGTTGTCTTACTCCAAGCTGTATAGGCTCGAAAGCCTACTACCAATTAAGCATATTAGGTGATGTGCATCTCTGTAATGAGAAGGGGTGTGGTCTAATGACATCAACACCCTATATCAGGTGTGCATAATTATTAGGCAACTTCCTTTCCTTTGGCAAAATGGGTCAAAAGAAGGACTTGACAGGCTCAGAAAAGTCAAAAATAGTGAGATATCTTGCAGAGGGATGCAGCACTCTTAAAATTGCAAAGCTTCTGAAGCGTGATCATCGAACAATCAAGCGTTTCATTCAAAATAGTCAACAGGGTCGCAAGAAGCGTGTGGAAAAACCAAGGCGCAAAATAACTGCCCATGAACTGAGAAAAGTCAAGCGTGCAGCTGCCACGATGCCACTTGCCACCAGTTTGGCCATATTTCAGAGCTGCAACATCACTGAGTGCCCAAAAGCACAAGGTGTGCAATACTCAGAGACATGGCCAAGGTAAGAAAGGCTGAAAGACGACCACCACTGAACAAGACACACAAGCTGAAACGTCAAGACTGGGCCAAGAAATATCTCAAGACTGATTTTTCTAAGGTTTTATGGACTGATGAAATGAGAGTGAGTCTTGATGGGCCAGATGGATGGGCCCGTGGCTGGATTGGTAAAGGGCAGAGAGCTCCAGTCCGACTCAGACGCCAGCAAGGTGGAGGTGGAGTACTGGTTTGGGCTGGTATCATCAAAGATGAGCTTGTGGGGCCTTTTCGGGTTGAGGATGGAGTCAAGCTCAACTCCCAGTCCTACTGCCAGTTCCTGGAAGACACCTTCTTCAAGCAGTGGTACAGGAAGAAGTCTGCATCCTTCAAGAAAAACCAGATTTTCATGCAGGACAATGCTCCATCACACGCGTCCAAGTACTCCACAGCGTGGCTGGCAAGAAAGGGTATAAAAGAAGAAAATCTAATGACATGGCCTCCTTGTTCACCTGATCTGAACCCCATTGAGAACCTGTGGTCCATCATCAAATGTGAGATTTACAAGGAGGGAAAACAGTACACCTCTCTGAACAGTGTCTGGGAGGCTGTGGTTGCTGCTGCACGCAATGTTGATGGTGAACAGATCAAAACACTGACAGAATCCATGGATGGCAGGCTTTTGAGTGTCCTTGCAAAGAAAGGTGGCTATATTGGTCACTGATTTGTTTTTGTTTTGTTTTTGAATGTCAGAAATGTATATTTGTGAATGTTGAGATGTTTTATTGGTTTCACTGGTAATAATAAATAATTGAAATGGGTATATATTTGTTTTTTGTTAAGTTGCCTAATAATTATGCACAGTAATAGTCACCTGCACACACAGATATCCCCCTAACATAGCTAAAACTAAAAACAAACTAAAAACTACTTCCAAAAATATTCAGCTTTGATATTAATGAGTTTTTTGGGTTCATTGAGAACATGGTTGTTGTTCAATAATAAAATTAATCCTCAAAAATACAACTTGCCTAATAATTCTGCACTCCCTGTAAGTATAAAAGAAGATAACTGGAATCAATCACAAACATGGAGCCAAAATGTGAAACTTGGCTCTGGTGGTATGCACCTGTGCATCTTTTGAGGGAGATCCAACGCCCTCTGTGAGTAAATTAAATTCTCATGTGATGGTGCTACACTTCGTAGGTAAAATATGGTATTTATTAAGAAATAAAAATAAAAACCCAATTGGGTATAAAGATAAGCAGCAAACAGTGAAATCTATAAAGTCCAATATGCGTTTTGCCAAATTCGGCTGCTTTGGATGGATGAGAGTTTTAGGAGTAGTTCATTTTTAGATTCTTTAAATAGGGGGTAACTTCATAATTCCTGGGCTTTTCGTGTGTTGGAACGTGTGACAAAGTGCCCTTCGCCACTTGGTCCTGGAGAGGCCTGCTTGACTATGACTCTCAGATGTATTTGGATTTAAAGCACCTATTCTACCTTCAGACAGACTATTTATGTAGGTTGCTTTATTTCTCTTATTTTTTAGTTACCCTGTACCCATTATAGGTGCAGGGTGCGTGTAATGTAATTGTTTATAGTGTGTGTGTGTACTGTGTAATGTATTGCCTGCTCTCCTGTACTGCTGAGGTTTGCTACCAATTAGGTGGGTTTGGCTATGGAGCTTGTCTAGTGCCCTCTGTTGGTAGCAACAGCAATATGCACTACCTGAATAGCAAGACTGGTTCATTTGCATATTCGGGTAGATTTGCATATTGCTAATTCTGCAGACACGTGAGATATTTTCTGTTAAATATTGTCTCCCCCACCCCTTTAAAAATGTGCCATTGTGTTGTGATAAGTCACTGTGTGTTGCCTGCTATGGTTTGACTGTTTGTGATTTTATTGAGTTTTCACAGCAATGTTAATGTTGTGACCCTATGGGCTGGTCCCAATGGAAATAAAGGTTTAGACAGTTCTTCTTGATCCCTCTAAACGTAGCCTTGTCTCGTTATTGGAGGGAGCTGTTATAATCACACTGGGGATTGCTATGTTCTACATGCTCCCTGAGCTTGAATCACTTAGCTCTTTTAAGAGCTTGTTCCTGACACGTTCTCCTTGGAGGAGACGTCTTCCCCACACAGTCCTGGATGCTGGAGGTTCATACAGGGTGGAAGGAAGAGGTCTTTCCCACACGGTCCTGGAGGACAGAAGCTGATCCAGGGTGGAAGGAAGACGGCGAGACTCCAATCAAGCTACAGCGGTTGCGGAGTCTGCGGTGTTTGTGGTGTCTGCTGCAGTGCTTGGAGTCCTCAGGAAGCGCTAGGAGCATCCGTCAACAGAGGGTACTCGGTCGGAGTACAAGGAGCTCCGTTACAGAATGCAACTTGTGTTCCAGAAGGTTATTAGTATTTCCGCCAGTTTCTTACTATCTGTTTCCGCCATTTTGTGATGACGTCTTCGTTTTGGTGGCTAATGACGTATATCCGGATTTCAGGAAAGGAATGCTTTGTGTGTTACATTCTTTGAGAAAGTCAGTCTGAGTTGTATGAGTCCCAATATAATCATAAGTTGAAATTGGATAGTAAAGGACCAAGTGGACATAATGTTGTTAGGGGTGTTATCATGAAGCAGAAGTCCATATTATATAAAACAAACAATGGAACAAAATATTAAAAACAGTAATCAATACATCATTATTGATGACAATTAGATCTATTTTTAAACATTAAGTTAATCACCAAACATGGTTAATAAAATATACACTGGGCATATACTTAGTGGGGAATATTGTCGTATGGAAGGCAGTCTTTACTATGTTAGAAACAGAAGATCCCATTTTTGAAAACTATCATATATATATATATATAAACAGGTATTCAGTTGTAAAAAAATAAATAATAAAAAATGCTATTTTTACCCATATGAAGAAGTAAAATTATGGTGATAAAATGATTATTTTAAATGGGTGGTTAGCTAAAAGAAACATTAGTATGAAAAGTAACTTAGATGTGAGATTAGACTGTAGGTTAAATTATAAATAAATATGAATATAAATACATGTTAATTATTTTAAAATATGACAGCTCAAAATCTTGGTTGAGCCCATGGGGTAATAGGGTGTTAAAATTAAATATAAATTGCATTTTTGTTTTTATATAGGGAAATTCACAAGATTATTTTGTACGCTTTAAGTTAACTTTTGATACTTTACAGTTGTTGCACTTTTTAAAAAAAGGAAAAGAAAATGAGTAAAGCTGAATAATTTGGGCAGCGATCGACTCATGTTTAGTCAGGAGATATAGGTACACCCATTTGCTTAAGTAATAGGGACATGGAGATGCCTTTTAATAGACCTCTTACTGTTAGACATAACTTGTCATCTATAGTGTTGAGTGGTAAAGTGGTAATGAGGAGCCTTTGATTCTGTACAGTAGGTACAAAGAGACATCCCTTCCAAGTATAAAAATAAGGTGTAATGTGGTTAAGGCTTATCTGTCTGATAGAACATAAGTATGACTTTACAGGGCACATGCGAAGTACAAGTTAAAGACTGGGGAAACAAGTTGTGACATGTGACTGGGTTACAGCAATGTATACTGTAATAATTATACCCTGGAGGTACATATCCCGATGCCTGTTATAAAGTAGAGCAACCCAATGGTCACTGACAGGCGATAGTACGTGACCTCATATAGCTGTAAGCCCATGGGTGTAGGATTTAATACCTAGCCCATTATCAACATATAAGAATGCCATACAGTGCCCAATGTGGAGAAAAATAAAAGGCAAAGTAAATTAATAGTAGGAAGCATTAAAATAGGTTAAACTGAAGCTACAATTTGCCACTGAAGTCTCTCAAGGCAGGCCACGCAGCCCCCCAGGCCCAGTTCTCTGTGAGTGCCACGGATGGCATACAGACAGTTCCGCTGGATCTTACAGACTCGTTCCTGTCCTGCCTCTTGTCCGACCTGCAAGCCCTGTGAGAAGTTAGGAGATTGCGATTATGCCAGCCCCGTGCTCCACGTGCGCACACCACCTGTGCCTCCTGTTCCACTGCCAGAATGGCTGATAACGGGATTCCCAGGTAAGGTGTCGGGCTGTGGTTCGAGGGTTGTCTTTAGGGTGCTCTAGGCCCAGTTAGGCAACTGCTGGGAATGGACTTAGGTTCCATGTACAAAGGCCGGTCATCCGAGGCAGCTCTGCTATTTAGCAGATTGGAGTAGCACCAATAGTCCACGGTTAAGAATTGTGCGGTATAGTCCAGTAAGCCACATGACTGCTGATAATGCGGTCAGGCCAGCGTATGCCACGCGGCCGCCATCTTGTTGTTTGGGTGCTGAGGTCCATCGGCTGAGTAACTCTGCACGATTGGCACACTCAGTGTTGGCTTCCTCCAGTGGGGACCGGGATAACCTACTTGCATGGATAATTGTCAGGCATGCAAACAGGGCAGCGGCCGTCTGCACCGCTCCTCTCGCAAGTAGGCCACATTCTCCAAAGCTTTGTACCACCCAGAGGGCCCCAAAATCTCCTGATCTTGGAGTCCATGGTGTCACCAACAGCTGCTTGCACCCTTGGGTACATTACCCAGCTTAATTTTTCGCAGTGAGTCTAAGATTTCTGCTGGAAAAGCCAAGCTCAACAGGAGCCTCCACAGCATGCGACCAGTCAGCATGGCTGCCAGGCCCCGCCCCCCAACAATATGTATTTTTTTGCTGTATGTTTCTCTGCATGCGAGGCAAGTAACGCAACCGTAAAAACCTGTGCCTTTTTGTAAGTTTTTAGGATTCGTAGTTCTAAAACTACTTTTTTACTAATGTGTGTTTTAGATTTTTACAACCTCTATAAACTATTTATGGTTTGGAGGGTTGTATACTTTTTAGGATGGGATCATCTTGTAGTATAGGCCAATATTGGTGGATTAGTTATTAACTTTTTTGTGTTGGCCATTATAGTTGCAGATGAAGGGCAGATTATTAATGTTACTATTTCTATTTATGGGTTTGTATGATAATAATTGTTTTCTTTCAATATTCTTAACTTCTTCCATACTTCTATTCAATTGTTGTTTGTCATATCATCTCTCTATGAATTGTCCTTTAATTCTGGATGCTTAAATTACGTAGTCTTGTGTACAGTTTCTTCTGACCCTTTAAACAGGCTTTTTGGAGTGTTTGTTAACCAGGGGGTGTGATAACTCTTCTTTTCAATATAACTGTTTGCACCTACAGTTTTGAAAAAAATATTTGTGTAGATATTTGAGTCTTCAGTAAAAATAGAGAGATCTAAAAAGTTATTTTCTTGATGACTTTGAGTGGAAGTTAAAATAATTCCCCAATCATTATTGTTAAGATGAGATACAAATATTTCAAGACTAGGTCCCCCCCTCCCCCCTTCCAAATAAAAAATATATTGTCTATATAACGGCAATATGACACCAAGTTCGCAAAAAAAGTGCTGTGGTACACACTGTTCTTCCCAATACGCCATAAATAAATTGGCGTAACTCGGTGCAAACTTGGTGCCAATTGACGTCCCTCTTGTTTGTAAAAAATATTAATCTTTGAACCAGAAAAAAATATTAGTGGGAATTAGATAAATTCCTTCTACAATAAAATTAATTTTCTCATCTTTAAAAGTGGATTTAGATAAAAAGTGTTTGACTGCCTCTATGCCTTTATTATGTGGTATTATGCTATAGAGGAAACTAAAACATAGTGTTCCTCCCATTCTAGTTAATTTAATTTTTGCAGCAGGTGGATAGTATCTTTTAGGTTAGAGGGGTTGCTAACTACTATCAGCTGAAGCATGACATCTATATATTCTGAAATCCTTGATGAAATGCAATCAATTCCCAAAATGATGGGTCTTTCAGGGGGGTTAGTCTAATTCTTATGAATTTTCAGCAGAAAGTATAATTCCTGAATTTTTGGATTGGGAATATAGATATCTTGCCTCTTCTGGCTTTAGGGTTTCCAATTCTAGGCCTTTATCTATGTATGATTTGCATTTTTCTTTTGTCATTTCTTTTGGGTTAGATGTTAACTTTTTGTATGTGTTCTCATCTTGAAGTCTCTTTGCTTCTGGGACGCGTATTATGGATTTTTATTTGGGCTTTTTTGGGGCTGAAGAAAGAAAAAAAGGAAGAAGAAAGAAGACATCAAATGGTAAGTATGACATTTAATTTTACAGGTTTAGTTTATTGCCCTCTTCTCACTATTATTAAGGTGAGCAGGGTAGGTAGGGTATTTTTATTGGTGGGGGGTGACTAGGGGCTTGGGGACATTAGTGGGGTCATGGGTGGGGTAATGGGTGGGGACATGGGGGGACATTAGGTCCCCCTTTAATTTATTTGGGTCCCCACCCTCTGCTCAAGGGTGGGGACCTGTGGAGATCATTAGGTCCCCCCATTATTTATTTTAGGGTCCCCACCCACAGCTCATGTGTGGGGACCTGGGGGGACATTAGGTCCCCCCCATTATTTATTTAATTAGGGTCCCCACCCGATGCTCATGGGTGGGAATCAGGGGGACATTAGGTTCCCCCATTAATTTATTTCATTAGGGTCCCCACCCGCTGCTCATGGGTGGGGACCAGGGAAGTCATTAAGTTCCCCCTTTAAATTATTACAGTCGCCACCCACCGCTCATGGGTTGGGACCTGGGAGAGACAATAGGTCCCCCCATTATTTATTTATTTAGGGTCCCCACCTGCCACTCATGACACTAGGTCCCCCATTTATATTAATAGCCCCCACCCACGGGTCACGGGTGGCAGCGCGGGTTGGCACTATGTCCCCATTTTAGTTAAGTGTGTTCCCCACCATGGGGAAATGGGGGTCCTGGGCCTGGTCCCCCCTTATTTTACTAGCGACTGGGCAGCAATAGCTGCCCAGTCACTAAATAGTTTTAAATGACAACGAGTAGCCACTGGCTCCTGACTGTTTAGACGACATGTGAGTAGGGGCATGCGGCAGGATTTAACCTCCTTTTTATCAATATCTGCCCAGTCAATAATTAGCAATAGCTGCCCAGTCACTAGTAGTTTTACATTTGTTTAGGTGACATGCCCCTACTCCCCTTTAACCTCTCTTTTATTAATATGGGGGTTCATAGTGACAGCATGCACAGTGCTGTTTGGACGAAAACAGATTATTTTTTAACAAATTTTGCTCAAAAACAAATGGTTTGCAGACGAAATTCGGTATTGACGAATTACATTTTTTTTTATTTAGTACGAAATCATCCATACGAAACAACATTTTCACTGGTGCACATGTCTAGTAGAGGTTGGTCCTGAGTAGTTCTTTGAGATAATATAGCACTGATACAGTTTTCTGAGGCATCAACCTCTATTATGAACGGTTTTGGAAAGATCAAGGTGAGTCAATATAGGGGCTGTCCAAAAAGCAGCCTTTATTACCTCCATAGCGACTACAGCTTCAGGAGTCCAAATAAGGGGATTGACTCCTTTCTTAGTCATATTGGTTAATGGTGTTATAATGGAAGAAAACCCCAAAAAAGCACAGTGGATATATAATTAAAAAACTTTAAAATATGGTCTAAATCAAGACATTATATTTTTTTTCTATACATATATTTTTTTTTATAAATTATTACTCTTCCTTATTAATATATTATTATTTTATATATATTTTAATGTATTTTTTCATATCTACGAAGATTTAGTCCATTTGAGATGTTTTGGTATCCATGCCTGTTTACACTTTTTAATTGTAAGTGCAATACAATAAATTTCTATACTTTTTTGACATACTTCACTATTGTGGCTATCTATTTCCTTGTATGTGAGCATCCCAGATCCATGATAAGAAGCACCTTAATTTACTTTCTCCATACCCCAGAGGGGTGATGAGCGCATATATCACATCCGTTTGTGAGTGTTATATCTATAGTAAACTGGGTTGTTGTTTTTTTTTATCATTGCTGGATTACAATATGTTTTTTGCATATAATTTTTTTTCTTTTACACAAGTGTTTGTGTTTCTTCCACTTCTTTTACTTCAAATCCCTTTTATCACATAAGTCTAGATATTGTGGAGCCACCTCTGTGCTAGAGGGGTAGCAGTGGGAACATTGATTGTCAGTATAGGCTTAAGAGAAGAAAAACACTTTGTGACACTTGGTACTCCACTTGGTTATCTCCCCAGCTTCCCAATCAATTACTGGGTTATGTTTTACCAACCAGGGGTAACCCAGCACAACAAAACAGGAAGGAGAGGATAGAACCTGATTCTCTCGTATGCAAGATACCCACAGTCATAAAGATGGGTTTAGTCTTGTGAATGATGAGAGGAGTATGAAGTAGTCTACCATCTATGGCCTCAACATGTACAGCAGGGACAGGGATAGCAGAATCAGCATCAAAAGAAGTATCTATGAAATAATCTGCTGCTCCTGAATCTACCAAGGCTTTAACAAGGACAAACTGACAGTATGAACCTAGATGTTTCAGGTACAGGGGACATTACACCCAAGGCTGGCCTTAGGTGTGAGAGTTTTCTGGACGGCTGGGACATTCCGTCCTAAGGTGACCTTTCAGTCCACAATAAAGACCTAGACCCTCTCTTCTCCTGAAGGCCTTTTCAGCCTCAGATAACTTTGACACACCTAATTGCATGGGTTCTGGGGCAGGTAATGCTAACACCTGTTAAACCGGAGGAGATAAGGCAGGGTGAATAACCATTCTCCTTTGTCTCCTTTGTATTTGTGAATGTTTATCCCAGATCTGATTATATGTATACAGTAATCGGTCAGATAATTTAAGTCAGAAGAAAATTCTTTGACAGCTACTTCATCCTGAATGTTATCAGCTAAACCTTTGTGGAATGTCGTAACTAAACCACTGTTAGTCCAGACTACCTCAGAAGCTAACGTTCTAAATTCAATAGCGTATTCTGCTACTGAGCGAAATGCCTGTCTTATTCTCATCAGTGACTTTCCAGCATAATGAGCATGACCTGGCGCATCAAAAGTCCTTTTGGAGGCAGAAAGAAAGTCAGCGTAGCTATGGATAACAGGCAAATCAGACTCCCATAAAGGGTTAGCCCAGGCTAGGCCTTATCGGCTGATTAACTAGAAATGTATTCTTTGCTCTATCCATAGAAAAAAAGCAAGAATTAATTTCAAAGTAAATGCTAACCTGGTTGATTAAAACTCGGTAATTCAGTGGATCACCACTATAGTGTTGTGGAGGTTTCATATGAGCAGCAGGAGCATAGTGACTAGTCTCATAGGCAGAGGACATGATAGCTGTCCCACTGTTAGCAGATTGTGTGTCAGGCTGCAGGTGAGCAGTACACTGCAATATAGTCTGAAGGGCTTGGGTAAACTGATCCAAACTGATCCATATGGTGTTTAAGCTCGTCCATTCTTGCTCCCTGTACTGCCATCTGCTGAGACAGGTCCGTAGGGTCCAAAATGGCTTTGTTGTACTGTCATGGCAAGAAAGAAAAACGCAAAACACACAGACCCTAATCTGCTAAAGGAAATGTGTAACGTATTACTAGGCCTTAGAATGGCTGGATTTAGCATAAAGAGTAGTCAAAGAGAAAGCTAAGGTCAAACATAGTGGAGAACAGCATAAACTGGAAGACAAGCCAAGGTCAGGAACACAGAAAGCGGAGAGACGATTAAACATGCCAAAACCAGTAACAGGAAATCCAAACAATAAAAAGTGCACTCTTGGGTATACAAGAACCACAATAGGACAACTTACTACTGAAAAGCCAGGGAACCAATACCATTGGTCAGAATCATTTCAGAGTGCCTAAAGACCTGAGTTCGGCCAAACCCCAAACTCGGGAGTCTCTGTTCGTGCGACCGATAGGTTCAGCACTTAGAGTCGCTCCGTTATGACTTCGGGCCAACTCTGTGGAATAGATAAGCATTACATTTTGCTAATGTAGCTTTTCTCACTCTTTAGGTTCAGCTTCGCATTCCTACTTCATTCTGTAACCGCAGGTGGTTCCCTTATTTACCACTGTAATGTCTTAAAGCATAGAACTTAGTAGGGCTAACCATACAGATATCTTAGCCATAATTTTATGTAGTGTAAGAGATCCTCTATTTAACATATATAAATAATTGAGAATACAATATAAAATAAGGATTGTCATCATGTCAGCCTCTCTGTCATTTTAAGATGGAGCAGCGTCTGTCTCCAAGTCTCTCCTCTGTGTCTAAACATTTAAAAGTACACCTATTTATACCTTAGGTGTCTCCATTTTAGGGTTACCGTAGTTCATATATGAAAAAGTAACACTTCTTTTACTTTATTCATTTTAGGACCTCCCTTAACTTGGCAAACATACAAGGCCATAACTAAAGGGTGTATTCTAACACCTTGTCAGTTTGCAATATCTCTTAAAGACAAAGTACACAGTTTAAGAAATACAACATTTCATTCTAAAACTTGTAATATTTGCATTTGCCAATAACACCCTCTCCATTAAACTGTGGGTGATGTAGAGCATTTCTTCCTTAAATTATTAAACCAAAATTCTCCAACAGTCTTAAGGTTTTTGTGCTCCCAGCATCTTTGATCATTGTTGTAACAGTAAAATATCCATAGTGTGATCTTTGCCTGTAAAGGTGGTTGATTAAAATGAGCAAAGCTTTTGTCTAGGAAAGAATTGAAAAGAACACCAAGTTCCAGAGTAAGATATATTTGGATGGATCCGTATACGAATTGTAATCCAAAGTTAAAAGTAGTAATTGTATTTGTAATCCAAAGTCTTAAAGGCCTGTAAAAGTTTACATTCCTTAGATACATTGCTGGAGGTTGTGTTTGTAGAATACCCGGGTATTTGTTGTAGAGTATAGGTTGTAGAGTCCAGCTATCCAGGTATTTGGCTAGAATTGGTTGCAGATATTGAATCAGCATCATCTGTTATCACCGTGGTGATGGCGTTGGTATTTATTTTTGCTTTTTTTATTTTGTTTTTTTTTCCATGAAACATTTTTACACAGTTTATGATGTGTATAGATTGGATACTCTCCGATATTCTTTTACGGAATAATTTGACAGCATTTCCAAGACATTGTCTTAAGTGACATGGATCCCGTTATAGTAAATGTTATGTTGATACAGCAATCGAAGTGGATTCTCAAGAAAGCCTCTTTTTGCTGTATTGGAATCTTTGTAACATCTCAGTGATAGACATCTCAATGACATCAGGTGCTGTTGTGCTAAAAATGTTAACAGGTAAAATCTGTGGAAAAATCTTTACATTTGTTATACTTCGTATAATAATGATAGATGAAATAGTAACATAGTTAATCTTTCTAGTGTTTTGTTTTAAAGATAAACACCCTTGTATATTATTTAGAGATATAAGGATAATTTGAAGCAGCAAAGTATTTACCACCTTTGTTCATAATGGTATTTAAAATTACATTGTCTTTAAGTGTTAAAAATACTCTTTTATTCAAAACCTCTCAATCTATTTAGAATAGTTGCTAATTGGAAATATGACGTTCATTATCTTTCTTTGACCTGTTAGGGAGAAGACAACATATTCCCTAATAATAACTACATTTATTAGTGGCTTAAAATACCAGAAACACCCAAAAATTGACTTTAAAACTTTATTTTTTTACCAAGATCTGACAGCCATTGTGGAAAGTTACGTTCGTGAGATTGGATGCTTAACAATGTGAATCTTAATTGTTTAAGTATATTTTTCAGTGGCTCTTGGGTGTAACTTAAGAGGATTTGAATATTTATTATTTCTAAAAGTGAGTTAAGAAAGCACTCAAATACAATATTGAAGGTATTTATATTTTAACTCTACCTTTGTATAAGTGGTTTTAACCCTTCAATAACAATAGATATCAGGATCTGTTGTAACTATAACTGGTTGAAGTGGGGGTATGTTACAATCAGAATATGAATTAATAATCATATGCATGATCTATTGATTCAACAATAAATAGATGTGGCAGGATCATTGCCATCAGGTATATGTACCTTTAATCAGCACAAACCAAATTTAATTTTCTTGGTATTTGAAAAACTGATAAAATAATTGATTACGTTTATTTTAATATATATATATATATATATATATATATATATATATATATATATTGTGATCCTTGTCTGCAGGTAGCACGGTCCTCTAGGGTAAACAACAGGCACAGTCCTTTGGTTTGCATATAATCCAGGCAGTTTTATTGTTAAACTCCACCACAGCTACAGCAGCAAATAAAAAAAATAAAAAACAACAATAACACAAATCCCTATAAACAAAAGCCTAGCTTGTCTGAGCACTAACTAACATCAGACTCCCTCTCTCTCAGGGTTTAAACTAGAACAAAATAATATTTGTGTTCACCAACCTAGTGCCTTTGTCAGATCTCTGCACTCCACACTCGGTTAGCATGTGGCTTCCATTCCTTCTAGAAATAAACAAAATTATCTCTCTTTTCCGCACTCCCAGTGCTCCAAGCCAGCCTTGACTGTTTTCCTTTTGCACTCCCAGTGCTCAGTCTCCTTGACTCTCTCACTGGAGATAACAGTCTCTCTCCAACCTGCTTCCAGAGAGGAAGCCAACAATCCCCCCTTTACCTGCATAGCAGGGGGGGTTTATTCCCACTGCTACAGCTGATTATCTGCAGCTGAGCAGTGGGTTGGAGACAGTTCCAAAAAACTCTTGCCTGGACCTGATTTCTCCAAGTTGTGTATAAACTGAGGAGTGGAGCATTGGCCCACACTGCTCTCCAAATGCTCCACCCCAGGCGCCCATGACTAAACAGTGGTTTGTGTTGCCTACAACACATACTACACATACTCCCCATGGAGTTAAATGTTTTAGGCCTATCTGCCTTCACTTTATCACAATATATATATATACACAGAGTGGTATGGATGTTGAATTTATATCTTTGACATATTTTCACCAGTTTTTAATAGGTGACCTAAATGATCAATTTCCAAAATCATCATGTATATCACCTGGACTGGTTAATCCATAATACTCTTTTACTTTCCATTGACTGGCCTTAGCTCTGGCAGACTGAATATGTTTATCATTGTAAATATAGGTTTGTGATAAGTGAAGTAAAGTTTCTGCCTGTCTTTCAGTTAAATTTTAACTGTTGAAGTACTTCACTTATATTAATTAGATTATATTTATTATACTACTCTGCAAACTTATACGAATATAGAGTAGTTTCTGATTTAATAAAAACATTTAAAATTTTCCTTTAAGGTTAAAACATTATTCATTATTGCAGTTGTTATTGTAATCGTATGATCTTTAACGTATGATTCAATTATTCATCTGGGTAATCAGCTACTATGCTCTTATACTTTATGTCTAATATATTTGTTTGTAGGCCAGACTGTATATGAAATTTTAGCAATGATCTTCAATTGCGTTTCAGATAGTCACAAAGTCTATCCACCTTTGTAATTAACATATTATGTGTTTATTTTATACCATTAATTATAGTATCTCTATTATATTACACATCGTCACTGACACATTTCTGATACAGGGAAAAAAATAGCATGATTGCTTTAGTAATTATAATTTTTCAGTCCATGTACCACATTCATGGAAGTCCAGAATATAGCAAGAATCCTTTGTCATTTGATTCTATGGAGCCATTTAATGTTTTGATTGGTATAGTTATACCAAAAGAGCAAGGAGTACGACGGTAGATCACATCTGCAACAGAACCATTACAGATTCCTTGTTGTATCAGTGTATCTGTGTTTATGTTTACAGGAGTTCCTTGCTTTGCAGTTATGTACATAATTTGTAGAGTTTAAGAAAAGCTGCAAATCGTGTGCCATGATGTCAAGTTTCTGAAAGATTTTGCTGGCCTTTTATATTCCATTCTCCTGGCAGGGCATTTGCTCTTAGTAGGCCGGTTTTGTTATTATTTATTAATTGCATCAAGATTTCTTTAGTTAATTGATGTGTTTCTACCGAATTCAAATTCATATGCCACCAAATGTCATTGTAAAGTTTATTGTTGCAGAATATTGTTCCAGGATGGTATTTCACTCCAGTAGGAAATCTATATTCCTCTTCTTCTGATCCTTCCTATTAACCACTTTTTATGAGTTGTAGTTAACAATCTGTGTCTTGTACTGTGAGGTGTTTTGATAGTCATTCAATCAGGTTTTCTCAGTACCATTTTCCATCTTGAGAAGCTCTTGGGTGTTGACAGTTATCAGCCCTTATTTCTTTTTCCTTTCAACTTCTGTCTGGAAACATAATAGCAATGTCCAGAATTAGCATAGCACTTCTTTTCAGCATAAGAAGGCTGTTTGTGGTAGTCACTCAATGATAAACTATATGGCAAAGTCTTTTCTTGCATCATCTTCATAGGTGAACCCAAAGTCTTTTACAAGGATCTGTCTCGTCTTTTTCTGTTTTCATCATGCTTTGCCATCATCGTTGAGTCCATTATTAGGATTTGTAATAGTCCAATCACATCTTTCTCATGTATAATCGGTTTTTGGAATGATCTCAATAGGTTCCTTGTGAAATACCAGTGTGGGTCACTGTAACGCAATCCCTTATTTACAGACCATATGAACCAGCCTGTTCGGTTATTTGTATGATTAAAGCGGGATTTCGTGAAAATAGCGATAAAAGCGAATAAACTACCGAACCACCGACCTCCCACTGAGGTCGTGTGGCGCCTATTAACCACCCAGGCTGTTGCGGTTAACCACAGACTAATTGGGGAATAGCTGGTGGTCCGCGTTCGTTTACCGAACACGTGGCAATCGCCATTTTGTATTGTCGAACGCTCAGCGGTAAATGGCGAGGATTCCCTGGAACTAATTTCGGCTACTTATTTTGTCGAACACTGCTGCTACCTCTTAATTTTCTCGTTCGTACGGTGGAAAAACACACAAATGAAGGGGATACTACTTCATTCTGCGCTGAAAGTATGCGAAAGTGACCAACCCCAGATAGCTACAGTATGGAACTCGTAGTTGGCTACAAACACACGAACAGCTGGCGAACGTCAAACTTCAGTCTATGTTTCTGAGAACTGTGTTCGTGGAATCTGAGCGCTATTCGCCTAGAATATGCACTCAGATCCAAGCTATCTGGGGATATGTGGGACTTAAAGTTTATGTTGTGTAAAAAGAAAGTTATAGATTTTTATTATGCTGGAAAAAAACATGTTTCTTTCTACCTGGAGATAACTAAGGCTCTCTTTGCTACCTTAAGTTAATTATCTCCAGGATGGAAAAGAGGGAGTGATTTATGGAAATGGGAGTGCTTATGCTATAGCCACTGTGATTGGCTACTGTGATACTTTTGTCCCAGTCTTCCATCTGGTCCCCTAGGGGAGTGTCCACCAGGTGGGAGACCTGCATAAATACCAGGTGGGTAGCCCACAGTAAATTAGATCGTTTTACCCCTTCATGAAGTCTCGACTCATGTTTGGGGGATTGGGAATTATAATCACTTCGTTTCAGCTGGATTTCGGGAGAAGCTGCAAGGATCATCGCTGCACGAATAGAAGGATCCTTTACAGTCACATTAGCAATCATTTCACTGTGAGCTGTGTCTCTCCTTTTGAGATGGTTCTTGGAGGTAGTCCTCACGATCACAGAACTTGTATAGTGTGCAGTCCGATTCAGTTCAGGTGCTTCCTGCTTGTTAACATAATTCCAATGCAGTTTTAAAACGACAGCCAGGGTTGATGTTATGATAATGCTGCAGACTGTAAGAAGGAGACACCATAACCAATTTTCTAGCATCCTTTTGCTTCCATCTCTGCATTTCTTTCTTACTGTATAAGAGAATTCAGGTTCAGTCTGTTTTCTCCAGAGTCTTTCTTATAATGATGTTGATGATTCATTTTTCATACATTCCATGTTAACTGTGAATGTATCACGTCTGACTGTTCATCCTTCTCCTTCACATTTAAAGGTTCAGATGTCAGATCATGATTCAGTCTGTTACGTGGCTATGATTCTAGTGGCTGTGTTCTGGTGGCATTTCTGTTGTCCTCTGTTTGTTTTATCTTGTAATCTTTAACACCATCCATTGTATCAGTCAGTGGTTCTGTGAACGTCCTGTTAGTATTAAGCAGGTTGTAAAATATCAAAATGTGGGGGTCGTGGCCTGACACCGAGCTGCATGGACACATCCTAACGAAGCTCCTGCTACCGGGCGAACTAGGGCTAAAATAATCGTGCTGCAAAAAGAACAAACAAGTTTTAATTATTAAGCTACCACTCCCGAGCCTGCAGAGATGTCACACAGGCAAAAAAATAAAGCTGCAAAGGCAGATCGCGCCTCCTTTTTCCTGGCCAAGTCGGCGACATCACACGCACGAGAAGGCCGCAGCCCAGATGCAGATGGCGGTGCCGCTCGCTCCGAGGAGGATCCACCTTTATCCCCAATGTCCTCAGATACAGGACCAGAGGACAGCCCGCCTACAACCCAGCAATTGAAAAGAATGCTGTCGGAACTTACTGACACCATCCAGAAGAACATGGCGACGCAGATACAAACCCTCACCGCAGATCTCAGGAAGGAGATTATAGAGGTGGGCCAGCGTACTGCTCAGATAGAGAAGAGGATGGATGATTTCGCTGAAGCGCATAACGGTCTCGCGGACAAGCTGCATGAATTGGACACCGTCCTGCACGACCATGCGGTCAAAATGGCCGACATGGAGGACAGATCGAGACGCAATAACTTGCGTATCCGCGGTATACCGGAGTCAGTGCTCAACCCTGCACTTCCTAACTACCTGTTAGACCTCTTCCAAGCACCGTCACCGGAGACGCACCCGGACCAGCTTATCATCGACCGAGCGCATAGGTTGAGAAGACCAAAACACCTCCCTAACTCCACCGCGAGGGACGTGATAGTCCGTGTCCACTTTTACCATGCCAAGGAGAGGCTAGTTCGAGCATCCCGCACACCAGGCATGCCAGATCCCTACAAGGACTTAAAAATTTTCACGGACCTGTCGGCGGCAACCCTACAATTTCGAAAAAGCCTGTCTCCCCTCACAACAATGCTACGAGCAACAGGAATTATGTACAGATGGGGATACCCCGCAAAATTGCTCATCCAGTACCAAGACTCACTGCACGCCGTAAATTTGCTGCCGACTGGCAAAGAAAAATTTAAGGTGTGGGGACTCCCGGTTGCCACTACAGACGACCATAACCAGGCAAAGATACCTCGGATGTCCCCTGAGTGGACCCCGGCCTGATCAGGATCCCTCTGCGAGACCTGCCTCTTCTCCCGCAGAGAGAGTGTTAAGTATGCCTAACACTTACTGCGGCCCACGGCGCAGTCACTAGGACCTATGAACTGTTGATGACCAAATGTTGCAAAAAGGTTATGTTCTTATTTTTTAGTGTATTACAAGTTAAACAAAAAAAAAAAGATACCTGCGGCACGAGAAAGCCTCAGCATACTATCTCTTTAAGCCATTCAAAGCCCTAAGAGCCACATATGAGCCACGACAACATCAGGCTCACTTAATGTACCCCCTACATTGCAGCCAAGATCAGCTTGGCGTGCTCCAGCTCTCTTGTGTAGAGCTTAATCAGGGTTTATTCCCCTTTCCCCACTCCCAGTTTATTCTCTCCCTAGTTCCCTCTTTCCCTGACCTATCCAGGTTTTCCCTAGCAGCCAGTAATATAATACCAGACGCAAAATCCCGTATAAGCAGTACAGTACGTCTTAACAGGAATGATCGTGTAGTTAGGTTTGGGATATATTTGCTTGATGGTTATTGCTGCAACATAGGAAAAGATGCTGTTGTTATGCTAACACCGGTTCACCTCCACGCACCATATGTCATACGCAAAACTGATCCCCAATTATCATAAGAGTAGTAACGTATAATGTGAAGGGGTTGAATACCCCTGGGAAAAGATGTTTACTGTATAAAGAATTGATAAAAACTAAGATTGACATTGCATGTATTCAAGAGACCCACTTTAAGAAAGGCTATACACCAAAGATCTTTACTAAACACTTCCCGATACAATACCATGCACTCTCAGTAAACAAAACAAAGGGTGTCTCTATCCTAATACACAAAGATATCGCATTCACCAGCCAGAGGCAGTACATAGATCCCCAAGGTAGATTCATAATCCTACAGTGTCTCATTAACGCAACCCACTACACACTGGTCACGGCATACTTCCCCAATGAGAACTCCAACCAATACCTAAAGTCCCTGCTAACGAAAATAGACCAATATCGCCTAGGCAATTTATTACTATGTGGTGACTTTAACTTCACTCAGTCACCCCTGGATAGAACAACTCAGAGAGGCACCAATAATAGATTGTCGCACGATAAGACCCACAAACACATTAACAAAACACTCTCATTACATTACCTCTATGATGTATGGAGAACTCTTAGCCCTGAAACGAGAGATTATACTTTTTATTCGAGGGTACACAATTCGTACTCTCGAATTGATGGGTTTTTTGTTGATAGAGTTACCTTGCCCCTTGTAGCAGATTGCAGGATTGGGGAGATTACGTGGTCAGACCACAGCCCGGTCACCCTGGTACTGAAGGATGAATTCCAATTCACAGGGAAAGGCACATGGAGGTTGAATGACTCCCTATTGAACGATGAGAAATTTACCGCTAACATTAAAGAGGAGCTTATAACCTACTTTAACCTAAACAATGTTCAAGAGACCACGGCAGCCACGGTCTGGTCCGCACATAAGGCAGTACTTAGAGGCCTGTTTCTTAAACAAGCTTTGCACATTAAAAGGACCCAAGACTCGGCAATGTTGGAATGCCACACTAAAATAGCGCAACTTTCTGCTCTAAACAAAACCCAGCCCTCAGTAGAAACAGGGATACAACTCACCCAGCAATATGACAAACTAAGAGACTTGACGGCAGACAAAACTAGGAGGCTGCTCCATAAATTAAAAGCTACCGCTTACCACCATAGTGGTAAAGCCACTAAATTGTTAGCAGCGAGATTACGAAAGAAATGCAACACACAAAAGATCGCACATCTTATAAATGATAGGGGACAGAAAATACTAAAACCCAGCGACATATCGCAAACCTGCACCTCACGACAGGTATAAACAACCCAACGGAAGACAGCATCTCCAAATATCTTAGCCAGATACACTTGCCACGAGTCACACTAGAACAAGCTGTAACGCTCCAACAACCCATAACCTTGGCAGAAGTTAGCGCGGCTATCAAATCTCTGCCTCTAGCTAAATCCCCGGGAGCTGATGGTTTCACTAATGCCTACTATAAGAAATTTGCAGACACATTGGCGCCCCACCTGTTGCGGGTGTACCAACAAGCCTCCGCAACGGGCTCCCTCCCTCCGGAGATGCTTATGGCCACAATTATCACCATTCCAAAACCTGGCAAACCGGCAAATGAATGTAAAAACTTTCGCCCAATCTCCCTCCTTAATACAGATGCCAAACTCTACGCTAAAATTATAGCAAACAGGCTGAGCGGACTTCTGCCAGAATTGATTTGTGATGATCAAACAGGTTTCGTCAGAGGGAGACAGGGCTCGGACAATACATACAAACTGATGCACACCCTAGAGCAGCTCCGGAGGCCTGGCCGAGGGGGTCTGCTTTTAGCCTTGGACGCGGAGAAGGCATGTGACCGCCTTGGCTGGGCCTTCTTGAGACAAGTTCTAGTGAAATACGGTTTCCCCCATCAGACCATCACGCAAATTTTTGCACTATACTCGGCTCCGAAAGCTAGAGTTCTGCAAGCCGGGTTCCTATCGGACCCTTTCGAATTATCTAACGGGACCAGACAGGGATGCCCACTGTCCCCACTGTTATATGTTTTAGCCCTGGAACCACTTCTGGTCGCAATTAGATCCCACCCCAATATTACTGGAATTCTGGTCGGATCTAGAGAAGTTAAGATAAGTGCCTTCGCAGATGACATCCTCCTCTATATGACCCAACCAAGGGATTCTCTGCCCCATGTCATGTCCCTCATTCACGACTATGGAACACAATCCTACTATTCTCTTAATACCTCTAAAACCCAAGCACTTAGCATAGGTGTTCCTGAAAGTGAAATGATAGGCCTCAGAGGGTCGTACCCCTTTGATTGGAGGAAATATGACATTACATACCTGGGACTACTGTTCTCTAAAAAACATACAGAGCTCTACACGGGCAACCATGTTAAAACGTGGAGAGAATGTGCCCTACAACTAAAAAGATAGTCACCTCTCTATCTAACGTGGACTGAATGAATAGTGGCAGTAAAGATGTCGATACTTCCTAAACTGCAATATATTTTTAGAACGCTCCCGATTCCTGTCCCACACTCCTTTTTTAAACTGGTACAAAAGGAGGTAGACAACTTTATTTGGGCTGGGTCTAGACCGAGGGTAGCCAGGAATCTTTTACATGCTCCTAAAAAGTCAGGTGGACTGGGATTACCAGATGTGAAGGCTTACTACCATGCATCCATACTAGCCACCTTACTTCCCCATCATATAGATAAAAAGGCCCCTCAGTGGGTGGAGATAGAGAGAAATCTGCTGAAGCCCTTCACACTACCTAACATATTGTGGATACCAAAGGTATACCGCCCGACCCTACCACATCCATCCGACCTCCTTGCCCTCAAACTACAAATATGGGACAAAAGTAGGGCAACACTCTGTTCCCCAACTAAACTTTCACCAGCTACACCAGTGGCGGCCCTCCCGTATTGTATACCGACCTTCCATGCCAACCCTTGGATAGACAACAAATTAACACACCTCTATCATATTCTCCAACACGGGACATTAAAGGACTTCTCTACACTGAGACACACACATAAACTTCCTGTAACCTCACAATTCTCATACATACAACTGAGATCGTTCCTCTACAGGTCAACTAGTGCTGATAGGGTATCGCAATCTGATAAGGGACAACCCACGGTGTGGGAACAAGTCTGTATAAATGGGTCATTACCACTCGCATGTAAACCGACCTCCATGTGTTACCGACTCATCGCTAACACTATGCCATTCCCTGATACCAATGTAGCACAACAATGGAATATAGATCTGGGAGAGCCTATCTCCCCCACACAATGGAATATCTTATTCCATGACATAAACCAGCTACTCACATCCACTTCCCTAGTGGAGCAACAACGCAAGGGTGTTTATAGATGGTACATGGTACCTACTCGGATTCATAAATTCTACCCAAATAGCTCTCCCAACTGCTGGAGATGTGGATTAGCAAGAGGAGATGTCCTCCATATTTGGTGGCAGTGCCCAGATCTTAAACCGTTCTGGACGGAAGTCCATACGCTCCTGCAAGACTTGACTGGCATTAATATGCAATTTACGCCCCAAGTCTATATAACACTAATTCTCCCGAGCGGAACCCCCAGAGCCGAGAGGAAACTTATATATCACGTTCTCCTCTCAGCACACAGAGAGATCGCAAGATCATGGAAATCTAAACAATGTCCGCCCTTCGCCAGAGTACTAACCGCTCTGATAGAACAAAGAGCATATGAAGGAGCATACACCAAATTGTGGCCCCCTTCCCATACCTCCGCAAAGGCGTGGGAGATCTGGGACACATGGAGATCGGGTCGCCTGGGTTAACCCTAAAGGGAGCAAACCGTAGAGCTGTGTTTAGAATATGGGTCGAGTCGACCCCGGACCTTAGAGGGTACAAGCATATATTGAACACCCATACCCACCCTGTCTCGGCTAACTGTTTTGTACTGTATGACTATGCAATATACTATATGACAATTATAATACTTTGCTGCTGTTCCCCCCCCCCTTTTTCTCTTCTGTATCCCCCCCTCACCCCGACTAATGTCGGGTTTATGACAAAATATTAATAAAAATTGTCAAATTTAAAAAAAAAAAAAATATCAAAACGTACTGTTCTCTGTTGGCTCTGATTGTTCTCTGTAGTAAAAGTTCTCGGAGTCACCCTCTCCAGGACAAACTGGCCAACAGTAAGAAAAAGTTGGTGGTGCAAGGCGAAGTGGGCTAGAAAAAAAAAATCCCTAAATTTCTCTAATTTAAGTTCTAAGCTCTCCCTGGTGCAGAAATATGATTGTCAGTGAAAAAACATGTAACATTTCTTATGGTGTCTCACCATTTGTATCATCAGGTATGTTGTGAATGCTCATCTGTACAATCGGAATAAATAGATACCACTGTGTGGGGCAAGCAACTAGTAACGTGGTCAATAGTCATTTAACGTCAGCATTTTCCCAGACCACAACCCCACTTCTTTGGCGCACTGAAATCCCAAAGTAACCCAAATGTGGTTGCCCAGTTTTAGGTTTCCTTTGCAGTAACTGCAGGACCACCACCCAAATGGATGGTCCTGGGATTATCAAATGCATACTAAGGAAGTGGGACTAGCAAACGTGGTATCAGAAGTTGCACTTCGCACAGGATATATCCAAGTAAACCTGGTACATGCATCAACACATACAAAAACATATTTATAACCATGAGATGTTGGAAAACTTCCAATATATAGTAATTCAAAAATTACGTTAGATATTAATATTTCAATAAACAGTACATCAGTAATATGACAATAATCAAATGCTTATGATTACTAAACACATGAATTACAGTATTTCCCATATTGGACCACCAATATTCCTTTTCAGGAGTCAGAAGTACATTACTTCTCTCTATAAGAGCTTGTCCTAGCCATGAAAAAGCTTTTAGGGCAAGTCTGTCTTTCCTCTATAGGAAGAACAACCAACATATTACCTTCAATGGTTATTATGTAATTAACCCCTGTAAACGATAGGCGTATTTATGTGGATACCAGGTGGATTATTTCTGGATATCCTTGCAAGCATAAACTCTGCATCGTGACTGAGAGATAGGGTATGCGATGTGATCCAGTGACCACAGAAAAGCGTTGGTAGACACATTGCATCAAAGTGCCTGTTAATGACCAACTATATGAGGAGAGGGACCATGCTTTGTTATAAGCATGTTCATACACGTATTACAATGCCAGGCTTTCAGTTTGTTATCACAAAGTAAAATGCAGTTGTGGATATAAACTCACGACGTATCGTAAAAAAAAACAGTTTGAACACCAGACTGAGATTCGAGATCAGTGAACAGTGGACCAAAATAGATAAATGAAATCTTATCAATTAATATACTTTCAATATACTTTCTTTAAATTACTTTATCCTCTGTATTAACTATGAAATATTAAAGTTAAAACAATAACATTTAAAAGCCAACTTTTGGTGTGCATAGGAATTACAAGGCCGTTCATAATGTGTGATAAAACCGAATAGTCTGTGAACACAAAATGACCTTGTGCTGAAAATTCACTTGCAGGGGAAAAAAAATAAAAATATTTTTTCTTTTTCTTTTTCTTTAGTAAGTTAATTAATTAAACGTAGTTAGAACCTCTCTCAAAGTCCCGATGACTTTGCAAGAAACATGTTGTCCTTAAATACTGGGTAAGTCCATTAAACAGTGAAATAGCATTTTTACCCTGTATATTATTTTGTCACAGCTATAATGTGCAGTATTACAAACTATTTCTAAGTGTTGTGCAAACTGTTCATTAAAATCCAGTGGTCTAGTGAGCTATAGAACATTTATTTATTTATTTATTCTTTAAAGCTCTGACCTCAATCGGCAAAGCAATATTGTAATGGTGTCCATTGCAATCTGCTGTCTTACTTGCTGCTCTCAAAAATTCTGAATATGTTCAGAGATTTCTTGGGCAATAATAAATCCCCAACTTTACATTTATGCTAAACCTGGCTGTTGTAAACGGATTCTGTATATTTCTGAGAGGGGGCTTTGGACAGTAATGTCACTTTAATTATACTTTTCATATAGCAGATATGTGATATGCAATGTGATTTAATATATCAGCGTATTATCACTTTAATTGACACTGCATTCTTTCATGCATTCTTCTTTATGCATTATTATTTTTCTTTTTTTCTTAAGTTTTAATGTCTGTTCAGAATATTGCAGGCTTTGCAATATCACATTAATTTTGCAGTATATATAATCACAATGCTCTTACAACATATTATTAAAATTAGCCTCTTTCAGAATTGTAGAATATGTGGTGGAACTGAATCCCCATATATGAGATTTGAAACTGAATTTTTATTTCTACACTGTGCCTTAATCTGTATTTATATACATAATTGCGGCAGCATATAGCTTTTAAAGAAGCAATTATTTCACCCTTCATGTGTGGTTGACTGTGGACTTTTTAAAACCTACTTTTTATTTTTTTATAAACCTGTTTCTGGCTCTGAGAGAGCAGGCTGCTGAATGCATGTAAATGCTCTTATTGCCTAGTCTATATACATTTATTTATAAACAACAATTATATATTTATATATAAACAACTTAAATATTTAATCTTATTTTGTTATTTTATGAAAACCTAGTTTATGAAATTCACTGAGATTACATGTCTGATCTGATTACAGTCAGTAGTACAATATCATTGTTCTAATTTCCTTAATGCTAGCACTACAGGTACAGTGGGATAGTACCACTGATTTAAGTAAGCTTTTCCTTTTAAAATTGGTGGAGTAAGCAAAGTCAATATGTGCAGGAATTGTGCACTTTAAATAGTAGAATACTTATGCTATTCTAGTGAATTGAGCTGGCTGCTTAACACATCATTTAGTATCTTTTGATCACATTTAAAGCTTTAAATGTATTTAAAATTTTATTTAAATAAGCCTTTAATAATTTCAGTTTAAAAGTTATCAGAGATCCTGTCTAGTTACAATTTTATTTTGCCCTAATTTATCTTACATATATATTATTTTTAATTATTTTATAAATATTTATTTTTGCAGAGGATTTAGAGAAGCAAAGGATGTATAACCACCTGTTGCCCTTTTTTCTAGGAGGGTAGTATAATTTCAGCTCTGTTTAGGAAAAAAATATGAGCTAGTTAGCATATGTTTTATAAAATATATGCTGCAGTGTACTGCACTGAATTTATTTAAAAGCCACGTCTTTCTCTTTATGGCTGTATGTAATAATGTTGTTCATAAGTTGGAATATAAAACGACTTCTCAATTCCTTGGAATGTTTACATGTCTCTGTATCTCCGCAACCTTGGCTGGAAATTCCATACTCCAAAAATAGTTATGCTGTTATAATTGCTGATTTTCAATCAACAGCTAGCGTAACTGACAATATGGAAATTATCACTGTTTTATAAAACTTTTCATATATAGTGGACTGTCTGTCTGTCGCTTCTGTGTCATGAATGTTTTCATTTAGCCATAATGCAATTTTCTTTGCATTCTTGGAATTAGACTTCAAATTTCATCGCTCTGTCATATCACTTTTCTTTTGACAACATCTTGCATTAATCCTTTTCCTGAGCATGCATACTAAGCAGCTACAAAGAGTACATATCCCCCTGTCTGCAATCCACTGTCCTGGAACTAATGGGCCATGCTGTGCTGGTGTATTAGGCATATCAGGGAGTTTACCAAATATGTATATTTATTCTCTTATGAAGTTAATTAAGATCCACAATTTCAGCATTGTATGCTAATTACGATGTACCTGGCACCTGAACTCAAAGTGCTTTGTTCACATTAAAATCATCTCTAATGATGAAGATCTCTCTCTGAGTCTGGGCTACAAATAGCTTGATAGATTCTTGATATTTCAAGACTTGTGACATGACAAAGTATTGTGTTTTCTCTTATGTATAAGAGGTTACCTAGGTATTTATTATTTTATAGTTAAAGCTTCCAAGTACAATTCCCTTCGTGGTCGCCAGTCTTAAAGCATAGAACCTAGTAGGGCTAACCATACAGATATCTTAGCCATAATTTTATATAGTGTAAGAGATCCTCTATTTAACATATATAAATACTTGAGAATACAATATAAAATAAGGATTGTCTTGGAAGCAATAGTTTTGTCTTTTAGATATTTATTATATAATAATATAAATATAGACATATAAAATCCATTATAGCAGAGTTTATAAGATTAAATTACATGCTTGAAAATATCATTAATAGGTTAACATACCCTTCTGAACATGTCAGTCTCTCTGTCATTTGGATGGAGCAGCGTCTGTCTCCAAATCTCTCCTCTGTGTCTTAACATTTAAAAGTACACCTATTTATACCTTAGGTGTCTCCATTTTAGGGTTACCGTAGTTCATATATGAAAAAGTAACACTTCTTTTACTTTATTCATTTTAGGACCTCCCTTAACTTGGCAAACATACAAGGCCATAACTAAAGGGTGTATACGTCATGGAAATTTCCCTGACTTAGTTCAAGATGGCATCTTAAAGTCTGGACATCCTTATCTACTTAAGGTTACCACAGTAGCATAGCCTGGAAGCTTGTTTATGCATTATTGTTATTGTAATTCGTCTGGGACAAAATGGCGCAAACATATTATGCACTGGGGTTATTGCTTAAAGAAACAGTTATGAAAAACAATATGTTCCATTTCTAACACCTTGTCAGTTTGCAATATCTCTTAAAGACAAAGTACACAGTTTAAGAAATACAACATTTCATTCTAAAACGTGTAATATTTGCATTTGCCCATAACAACTCTAAGTCATTTATCTAAATAGGGAAGAATAAGTTGTTATTAACCCTTTCAATTCTAGCAAGAAATTGAGCATGACCTGTCAGATCAACAGATTCAACATTGTTACTGTGAAGAGAAATGGTTAAAACATCACCTTCCAGAGGGACATTTTGGATTATTTCAGGAGCAACTCTTACGGAATGTTCATCTACAGATGCAATTTCATCATTCACCTACACGATAGTCACGTCAGGTGACTGACTATTCCTAAAATGGATCTCAATAGAGTCAGGCCTTTCTTCTATCACATTTTAGTTACATTCAGATTGAACATGTTGTGATAAAGTGAAGGCAGATAGGCCTATAACATTTAACCCCAGGGGGAGTATGTGTGGATTTTGTTACATTATTGTTTTTTTCATTTACTGCTGTCTCCTGTGTGGATTTACAAATAAAGTGCCTGGAATTAATTTACTTTTAAAGACTGTGCATGTTTGTACCCAAAAGGACCGTGCTAACTGCAGACAAGGATCACAATATGGTGGAGAATGCGGGCACAGTAGCACATTGAGGGTCTGTGGGTCTGCCAGTCATCCGGTAGTCTGCTTGAGGACTTTTATTTTGGCAGACCTGTTAAACAAATAGCCTGTACCTTTAAGACTGTTACCTGCTTGGTGCTATAATGGAGGACCTGCTGAAGGCTGTGGTACAGGCAACCGCTATACAGCAAGGCACAAACAGTTTACTGGCTGCACAGGTTAAGAACCTGAGGGACGCTCAGCAGGAGAATAGAGCTGCCCTTACTGAGGTTTTGCAGATTGCCCCCTGCAGGGAGTGTGGGGACAAGGGACCCCGTAACCAAGCTACTGACATCCTGCATAAGATGACAGAGGCAGTAGAAGAAGTCTTTAGCAAGCTGAAAAGCATGGAGGATGCAAAGCGTGATGTTGAGAAACACGCAAGAGAAAAAATGACTGTGGCTGAGGCCAGCAGTGTCAAGCCGGTTTGTGTAATAAAAAGTGAAGCAGAAGCCACCGATGTTCACCCAAGTGAACACGTTAAAGGACCACTCTCGGCACCCAGACCACTTCAGCTTAATGAAGTGGTCTGGGTGCCAGGTCCAGCTAGAGAAACTGCTATGTTTATGAATGGGTTAAGCCTTCCCCCTAATCCTCTAGTGGCTGTCTCATTGACAGCCACTAGAGGCGCTTGCGTGCTTCTCACTGTGATTTTCACAGTGAGAGCACGCAAGCGTCCATAGGAAAGCATTATGAATGCTTTCCTATGTGACCGGCTGAATGCGCACGCAGCTAACCCAGGAGGAGGAACGGAGAAGGATCGGAGGAGGAGAGCTCCCCGCCCAGCGCTGGAAAAAGGTAAGTTTAACCCCTTTTCCCCTTTCCAGAGCCGGGCGGGAGGGGGTCCCTGATGGTGTGGGCACCCTCAGGGCACTATAGTGCCAGGAAAACGACTATGTTTTCCTGGCACAATAGTGGTCCTTTAAAGGCATGAAAAGCAGACTGACTTGGTGAGTCAGAGAAGACAACAGCAAAAGAGCTGAGCAAAATAGAGAGAAGCAAAGCACCCCAGTTGAGCTCAAAAATGCTGTGCACTGTTTAGTAGCAGAGGCTACCCAAAAATGTCAACCAGCTGTTGGACGGTTTGGCAGAGAAAAGCAAGGCAGAGAAGTAGTAGCAAAACTAAGTCAAAATAAGAAAGGCAAAGTAGCCGCTTCTGACCTAAGCCAAGAGAGAGCGACAGTTACAGAACCAAGCTGTGGTGATAAGATGGGCACTTCCGCACCTAAGCCCGACCAAGGCAAAAGTGACAAAGTAGGTGACATTGGCGTAACAGAATTAAATATTTCAGAAACACCTCGTATTGCTACAAAGACTTTGAATGATTGTTCGGGAGCCACAGAACTGGATCTGCTGGCAAAGACTACATCTACAGTGCCTGGGCACACTGACTACCTGGAACTGCTGCCAGCTTCTGGGAAAACAGTAATGTAATTAAAGCCGGGACTCGGACTGCCTGACTGGCTGTTTGATACCGGGCTGTCATGATCCAGCGAGAGGCCATGACTGCGTCTCTGGACACCACCAAGGGAACAGGGAGACCGCCAGACAGCCCAGAGGAAAGCATTGCTGACATTGAGAGGTGGCCACTCAAGGCTGAGCAAGCAGAGGATACCCCTGGGGAGGAAACCAGGCTGTGGCGAAACCAACCTCGCCACTGTACACTGGAGAAGCCTGGTTGCTCGCCTGCTCCCTTTAGACTATGGTCCTGCATTTTAAACTTTTATTTTACCAGCAGAAAGGTTTATTCGTGCCTTTCTGTGGACTGTTAAAGCCATGCTACCCCAGATAGCTATGCCATGGAGCCCAGCCGTATACTGAAAGACTGTATGAAAGACTTTGGCTCCATGGCGATTGAACTGTATGTATGTGATCTCAGCACCATTCGGTAGTAATGTGCACTCAGATCTAAGCTATCTGGGGATATGTAGAATGTCTATGTTTTATGGAATAAATGTAACTGTATGTAATTTTATGTCTTTTATTGTCCTTTGTCTGCCATGTGGTTAATGGAGTTTTGCCTCTGTCCTTGGAGATAATTTGATTACTTCACAATTATCTCCAGGACAGAGAGGAGGGATTGTGATGTAATTGTGGGTGTGTTTTACAGTTCCCCTGTAACGATTGGTTGTACTGTGTCCCACCCTGTGGGATGTCCCCGTGCATGGGGACTTGCATAAAAGCCAGTTTGTGGCCATTACAGAGAGTTCCTGCTTAACCCTCAAAGTGAAGTGTCGTCTCATTATTGGGGGGAGGATTTACTGTATGCTGTGAGAGACTGATTGCCAGGAAGGTAAGCCGCTTGGGGTCTTTTCCTGTTCGTCTGCTAGCAGCTATTCATGTGTTTCCAGTTCGGGAGATCGGTGCTTACAGTAGCTGTCGGTGTAGCTGAGAAAGGGGAATATCGCCTAAACGGTTTTTAACCTCTGGTGAGCAAAACGGTCCATTACACAGGCAAAGGAAAGATGAGCTACACCGGGAGTCTGTGTCTCTGGCACAAGAACAGCGCTCCATACGAGACCAGACTGAGAAAAAACTCAGATGCTTCAACTGCCACATGCAAGGACATATTGCATATAACTGTCCTGAGAGTGAAGAGCCAATACAGTGTGACAAAGGAATAAGGGCTCTGCATAGGATAGTATTGACTTGCTTAAAGATGTGTATGGTGACTGGTGGTGGTGTTACAGGACAGCTAAAAGTGGTGATGGTGGTAGGGAAGAGTGCACAAGCACTGATAGATTCAGGGAGTGAGGTTACTTTGATGAAAAGTGTTCTGTTCCAGCCAGAGTATGCAGCTGCCTACCTTGATGTGGTGTTTCACAGGGTGGACTGGGTAGCACACCTGATGAAGGTCCGGTTAGTTGTGAATAATGTAAGGGCTGCCGGTTTGACCGCTAACACTGCTAACTATTTGGGTTATCCTATTGGGTGGGGGCTCCTTAAACTACAAGGGAGCAAGGTTTTTTGTTTTTCTTAAGGCTGGTATGATCATGTCAATTTATGTTCATTCTCTTGCTCTTCTTTGCTCCTCTCGCCCCACCACTTGCCCGCTCGATCCTGTCCCATCTCACCTTATCAGATCTCTCTCCACTTGTCTCGTGCCTTCTTTAACACACATCTTCAACTGCTCGCTCTCTTCTGGCATCGTCCCTGCTGACCTTAAACATGCCACTGTAGTACCTATACTAAAAAAACCATCCCTTGACCCATCCACCCCCTCTAACTACCGTCCCATATCCCTGCTCCCTTTTTCCTCAAAGCTTCTGGAAAGACTCGTCTTTACCCGTGTGTCTCATTTCCTCAATTCCAACTCTCTCCTTGACCCCCTTCAATCTGGCTTCCGCCCTCTCCACTCTACAGAGACTGCCCTTATCAAAGTTACTAACGACCTAATCGCAGCTAAATCCAAAGGCCACTACTCCATACTAATTCTTCTTGACCTCTCGGCGGCCTTTGACACCGTTGATCATGCTCTCCTTCTTCAAACTCTGCAATCGCTTGGTCTCTGTGACTCTGTCCTCTCGTGGTTTTCCTTTTATCTCTCCCAACGCTCATTCAGTGTCTCTTTTTCTAATGATACCTCCTCCCCTCGCCCTGTCTCGGTTGGAGTCCCCCAAGGCTCCGTCCTTGGTCCCCTTCTATTTTCTCTTTATACTGCCTCTCTTGGCAAACTTATTACCTCATTTGGTTTCCACTACCACCTGTACGCTGATGACACCCAGCTATATCTCTCCTCCCCGGACCTCTCCCCTGCTGTCCTGCAACGTGTCACTGCTTGCCTTTCTTCCATCTCTGACTGGATGTCCTCCCGCTTTCTGAAACTCAATCTCTCAAAAACTGAGCTCCTTGTCTTTCCTCCTCCTAATACTGATCCTCCTCTTTCGCTCTCCCTTCAAGTTTGTGGTACCAACATCAGCCCATCCTTGCAAGCGCGCTGTCTTGGCGTCATACTTGACTCTGGTCTCACCTTTGAGCCTCACATCCAGCATGTTGCCAAATCCTGTAGATTCCATCTTAAAAACATAGCCCGCATCCGCCCCTTTCTTGCACCAGATACTACCAAGGAGCTTGTCCATGCTCTAATAATTTCACGCATGGATTATTGTAACCCTCTCCTGCTTGGTCTACCCAAAAGCCGTACTGCACCCCTACAGTCTGTAATGAATGCTGCTGCTAGACTGATTTTCCTCTCTAGTCGGTTCTCTCACACCTCACCCCTCTGCCAGTCCTTACATTGGCTTCCTGTGTGCTATAGGAGTCAATTCAAGGCACTAACTCACACCTATAAAGCACTGAACAACTCTAGCCCCTCTTATATCTCCTCACTGATCCACAGGTATGTCCCTTCTCGGTCTCTCCGCTCTGCCCGTGACCACCTCCTGTCAGTTGTCCGCACCCGTAGGCCAACTCGCGCTTGCAGGACTTCTCGCGGGCGGCTCCCTTCCTATGGAATAGCCTGCCTACCGCCATCCGACTATCCCCTAGTCTTGCATCTTTTAAGAAGTGCCTTAAAACCCATCTCTTTAGGAAAGCTTATGGCCTCCAAGACTAACCCCTACCTCACATACCCGTCTCTTGCCCTCTCCTAAAGGGCAGCCCACCTTATTTGATTGCACATTCCTGTCCTAATGTGTTTTACACCCCACCTCCTATAGAATGTAAGCTCGATTGAGCAGGGTCCTCTTCAACCTATTGTTCCTGTAAGTTTATTTGTAATTGTCCTATTTATAGTTAAATCCCCTTTCATAATATTGTAAAGCGCTACGGAATCTGTTGGCGCTGTATAAATGGCAATAATAATAATAATAAGGTAGCCGCCATCTACAATAGGCCACTTCCTGTAACTGAGAAGCTAGTCAGGGCTGGTACAGCCCTAGGTGTTATGAATGTTCACAGTTTGTGTTTGAAGGCCGATGGGTCTGAGCTGGGGGGGAGGATATGTGATAAAGTGAAGGCAGATAGGCCTATAACATTTAACCCCAGGGGGAGTATGTGTAGTATGTGTTGTAGGCAACACAAACCACCGTTTAGTTATGGGCCCCTGGGGTGGAGCATTTGGAGAGCAGGGTGGGCCAATGCTCCACTCCGCAGTTCATACATAACTGGGAGAAATAAGGTCCAGGCCAGAGTTTTTTGGATCTGTCTCCAACCCACTGCTCAGTTGCAGATAATCAGCTGTAGCAGTGGGAATAAACCCCTCCCTGCTAGGCAGGAAAAGATGGGGGGGGATTGCTGGCTTCCTCCTAGGAAGCAGGTTGGAAAGAGGCTGTTCTCTCCCGTGAGAGAGTCAAGGAGACTGAGCACTGGGAGTGCAAAAGGAAAGCAGTCAAGGCTGGCTTGGAGCACTGGGAGTATGGAAAAGAGAGAGAATGTTTGTTTGTTTTTTTCTTGAAGGGCTGGAAGCAGCAGGCTGACTAAACACTGGAGTGCTGAGAGCTAACAAAGACACTAGGTTGGTGAAACCAGTATTATTTTGTTATAGTTTAACCCCTGAGAGATAGGGAATCTGAAGTTAGTGCTCAGATGAGCTAGGTTTTTGTTTCTAGGGATTTTGTTACATTATTGTTTTTTCATTTACTGCAGTCTCCTGTGTGGATTTACAAATAAAGTGCCTGGAATTAATTTACTTTAAAAGACTATGCATGTTTGTACCCAAAAGGACCGTGCTAACTGTTACCTGTTTTAAATTTAACCAGGTATTGCAAATAACACGAAGGGCATTTCCTCCTACACTCAACAGAGCATTGGAGAAATCTTACCTTTGGCTTATCTGTTGCTAAATCCATTACCTGCTGGAAGTAGGTTTTGGATAAGATAGTGGCTTGGGAATCAGTATCTATTAACCCTTTGAAAGGTTGTAGTAGGGAATCCTGTATTTCTAAAGACATGTAGTACCTTTCTTTATGTTCTTCTAATTCACACAAGAATTTAGAATGTGTCAACATATCACTCGTCTTCCATCTGTTACCTGTTACAGCAGTAGTTTCTACCTATACTGAGGAATGCTCAGTGCTACCCACTTGCCTATTCCTTTTCAGGAATTTTTTGAATGTTCAAGCTGGAACTTGTGGTTGTCATCTCATCAGTTAACCCTTTCAAGTCTGGATCCTGGAAACTAGGGGCTGTTAAGGATATATGTTAGCTTGTGGATCATTTTGATCTGACTGCAATATAAAATGAGAGATTAGAGACACTTCCTTTGCCACTGTAAGTGGGTATACTATAAGGACAACACAATTTTTCACACAACTATTGTGTGTTTTACTGTTTGGATCTGGAAAGGAAACAGTGTAAGGCATTACATCTATTGACAACCTAGCCTGTTCAGTCACAGTGGCTTTTATTGCAGTGGCACCTGCAGTTGCTGTTGCAGTTGATTAAGTGGCTCTGCAATTGAGCCTTACTCCCAAAACAAAAATAAAAAAATGATTTCTGGCAAAGATTTGGTTAAATTCCATTAATTTGCCCATCTGGTTAATCAATTGACCAACCTGATGATGCAATTATTTTTGCCATTGCCGTTCTGTCCTTGCCCATTAGAGTTAGGCTGGGATGGCTTAGACTGTTGTTAGTTATTGCAAGCAGATCGGTTGTTTCTGTCTCCAATATATCTCCTATTTCCCTAAGAACTCCTTCTCCACTGAGAATTGCCTTGGTTCTTGTTAAACCAGGGATTAGTTTATTCTCACTGACCTTGGACTCTCTTAGAGCTATCATCAGAGGAATCAACAATTGATAGTAGATGTTTCCTGTTTCTGAGGTTTTGGAATTTTCAGAACCTCAGAATAAGTCCTCTTTTCTGTTGGGATTCTAATCCTAACTGAACTTTCGTCTCTGACACAATTTTATCACTACGTTTCTTAACCTTTTGTTAATTTTCATCATATGCATGGTATATAGTATACAGTTTCATGCACTGACTGACTAGTGATTCTAACGCTTGTAAGATTCATCTACATGTTTGCCAGGATAGCATAAAAATACAGATCTTTGAATTCTGTACTTTCATACATGGGTTTCCTTCCTGGAAGATGCATTTTTTAGAATTATTAAAAATTCTCTGGGGTTTTGGTCGGTATGGCACTTTAAATTATCAAGCGCTTTCTTAGCAGAAGCCATGGTTAAAAAAAGCAATAAGAACAAGCACTCAAATTAAAGGCTGCTGCTCCCTGGATCCAGCTGTCAGTTTACCATGCCGCCAAGTCGCAGACTGAAGAGCATCAGCTGCCGCCCTCACACACTAAGCGTATTCTTCTGTGGCTCTCTGAGAAGGCGGAGCACGTAGACGTCACGCCCCCATGCTCCTTCTCCTCCACGCAACGGACCTCTGCATCACCCATGTGGATCCCCAGCCACGGCTCTCCCCTCACCATTCACAAGTCAAGTTCACAGCAGCACTTGACTTGCTCTGCACTGCAGACACATAACTCGGCTGGTCTGTGAGTGACCAAATGCGAGCAGTGTTGGCCACCCGGTGCCCCTGTTGCCATGGCGCCCTGTGCTTCCGCACAGCTCATACACCCCGAAGGCCAGCCCTGGTGTCACCCCCACCTGTGATGCACAACCTGGTGGGGTCTGCACCCCCTGAACCCCCCTGTCTTACGCCACTGGCAAGAGCATCTCCAAAACAGCAAGTGCAGTACCTACCAAAAGTGGTGCAAGGAAGGAAAAGCTGCCAAGCCCAAGGCTCACTGATGCACAAAAGGAGTGATGGCTTGCCCATCTTATCCAATCACACACAGAATCAACTGTAGCTCAGATTGCTGAAAACAGTACCCATGATGACTCCTGTCCACCACTAAAAGTACCTTCAAAGGAAATGTGAATGTTAAAACGACCATCAAACAATGGAAGAAGGTTGCCTGGTCCAGGGCCGGCCCAAGACATTGTGCTGCCTAAGTCCAAGGATGAGTTGATGCTATCCACCCAAACACATGTGTCTCTGTGTGTGCTGGGTATGAAATGTGTCTGTGTGTGCACTGGGGATGAAGTGTATGTCTGTGCTGTGGGTGAAGTGTGTGTATGTGTGCTGGGGATGAAGCGTGTATATGTGCTGGGGGTGCAGTGTGTATCTGTGCGTGCTGGGGATGTCGTGTGTGTGTGTGCACTGCAGCAATACACTTACCTATATACTGTGTCTGTGTATCTGCATGTCTGTTAGTGTGCTTGTATCTGCATGTGTGTCAGTGTTTGCATTGGTGTGTGTAATAAATTCTCGTTTCTTCTTCTGTGTCTTTTTCCAGTTGATTGATATATACGTCTTTTTTATATATAGTCTTGGGTCAAAGGCTCGCTACATTATTACACGTCTATATTAATGAAAAGTACCAATATGCAATCTGACTTACGGTTTCTTCATGCTTATTCTTAGTTACTGATACATAATAAAACAACAAAGGATGTTACAGGATAATGGATGTTCAACAGCAGATGGTAATTGCTGGACTCCTGAAGGGAGAGTTACATCGAGAGAGAGAGACAGAGAGACCTTGTGTCCCTTTGTTCAGTTACTATATAGATATGCCCATACTGACGTCAGAGTATAACTCTAGCCATATAAGGACAAGACCCTCAATTCACATTCCAGAGTTCTCATACAAAGAAAGCCATGTGATTTAGACCATCTGTTACTTATGTCAATCCACACATCTATATATAATCAATGGAAACATAGACTATGCAATATTCTACAGTGTGTCTGTACCTGCATGTGTGGCAATATTCGTATCTGTGTGTCAGTATTTATATCAGTATATCTGCATGTGTATCAGTGTGTCTGCAACTGTATGGGCGTCAGCATGTGTATCAAACACAGACACACACTGTAATGCTAGTGTGTCTCTGTGTATGTGCTGGGGATGAAATGTGTCTGTGTGTGTGCTGTGGCTGAAGTGTGTGTCTGTGTACTGGGGTTGAAGCGTGTCTGTGTGTGTGCTGGGGGTGCAGTGTGTGTCTGTGTGAGCTGGGGTTGAAGTTTGTGCCTCTGTGTGCTGGGGATGTAGTGCGTGTCTGTGCACTGCAGCAAATACACTAACCTATATACTGTGTCTGTGTATCTGCATGTGTATCAGTGTTTTCATATATATATCTGTATGTGTCAGTATCTGTATCAGTATATCTGCATGTGTTTCAGTGTGTCTGCAACTGTATGGGTGTCAGCATGTGTATCAAACACACACACTGATACGCATGCAGATACAGACATACAGATACACACACTGCCACATGCAGATATACAGACATAATGATACAGACATGCACACTGACACACATACAGATACGCACGCACACACACACACACACACACTGAGTAACATATAACGTAACATTGACAAGCACATTTTATTGGGTACTGTATCTATACGGATTCTATAATGTGAGGTGGGTAGGTTCGCAACTGTGACAATGGACTTGTGATAGGTCAAGTGTTCTGCCATTCGGGCTCTAGTTGCAAAGAATAACCACTATTAACTTTAAAGTACTACTGTGTGATTTAACAAATGCATTCAACAATTGTTTGGTGGATTTTATGAAATCCAATAACCTGGATATTGTTAACAATCATTAAACCCTGACTGTCTGCAAATTAGTGCTGCAATCTACAATCATAACATATTTAATATAGTAATTGTCTTTATATTTTATGCTTTACCACATTCTATGTGTCCAGCATTTCAGCCACACCTGTGGTACATGGGTACTGGTACAGATACACACACACACACACACACACACAGAGATACACACACACACACACACACTCTACACATAGATACATGCACATTAAGCTTACCTTCTGCTGGCTGTGCCCGGATCAGAAGATCCTTGTGGCTCCTTTCTCCCACATGGCTGTGTGAGTGAGTTGTGAGGAAGGGATATTATGTAATCTCCTCCAAACTCTCCCTGCAGTTAAGAAGGGTCGCACTGTTAAAGGATCACTATAGTGCCAGGAAAACATATTCACCCTCAGGGACCCCCTCCCGCCGGGCTCTGGGGAGAGGAAAGGGGTTAAAATTACCTTTTTTCCAGCGCCGGGCGGGGAGCTCCTCTCTTCCTCTCCTCCTCCGATCCTCCTCTTCGGCTGAATGCGCATGCGCGGCAGGAGCTGCGCGCGCATACAGCCAGTCTCATAGGAAAGCATTCCTAATGCTTTCCTATGGACGCTGGCTTCTTCTCACTGTGATTTTCACAGTGAGAAGCACGCAAACACCTCTAGCGGCTGTCAATGAGACAGCCACTAGAGGCTTTAGAGGCTGGATTAACCCATTTATAAACATAGCAGTTTCTCTAAAACTGCTATATTTATAAAAAAAAAAAGGGTTAATCCTAGAGAGACCTCGCACCCAGACCACTTCATTAAGCTGAAGTGGTCTGGGTGCCTAGAGTGGTCCTTTAAAGCGTCACAGCACACTACCAGGCCCCTCATTGCACATGTCCATCAGGTGACCCTAAGGGCATGGGCCACCTGTTGGACCCTCATTCAGTTGCCCAACCTGTGCAGTGCACCGCCACCACGTGTTGGGAACCCCTGCTTTAGATAATGACAGGTACAGCAAAATACCTATACTAAATTGGGAGGAGGGTTAGATGTGGCTGTAGGGGTTAAGCAGGGCAAGCAATGTGGCTATGTGGAGATACATTGGTAGGGGAATGTGGTTATAGGAAGAAGAACTTAAAGTTGGTATGTCTGTAAGGAAATGTATTTGGGGATATGCATTGGAGCTGTAACAATGCATATCCCCCAATGCACCTAGTTCTTGGACACAAGTAACTTAAAAGCCTACCTTGTCTATGAGTACAGTGTGCACCATTGAGTGTGGAGTAAGATGTAAATATTCTAGTGCATTGTGAGTAAAATTAGAACATGACACCACATACTTGTCAAGGCTATGTTTAGTGAAATATTTATTTTCTTTTACTAAACAAATACTTTATCTAATATATATATATTTATTTTCAGGCAAAAGGGATTTTCATTAAATTGGCAAGAGTCAAGAAAGTACATCGTAACAAGCACTTTATAACATTCACAGAAATGATTTCATATACAAAAGAGAGGATATTGTTAATAGCTGGAATCAAACAACCAAAGTATGCAGACAGAGTCATAACAAACAGCAATGTAAGCAAACAAGTTTGTGTTAAATTATGCACTGTAATATTTCGTAGAAGATTTATATTTTACATTAGACTTCAATTTAGTATATAGACTCGTGTTCATATTCAGAACTCAAGAATATTTCAGAATGTTAATAGGGTCTGCAGTTGGCAGAGAATCTGCCCATTCATTCAAAGTTTTCACCCTGAGAATATTCAGCACTATAACTATAATGATATACAGGGACGGACTGACAGTGGCCTGGGCCCCCGGGAAAAATTAGGACCTGGTCTCCCCCCAGACCAATATATATGCTGGTATATAAGATGGTGTTTGTACGGTGTATTTGATTATATATGTGCATGTAAAGTGAATGTATGTTTTTGTGTGCATATTCCCTGTGACCCTTGGTTTAAGTAAATATATGTAAGTTTGTGTCTAGTGTCACAATGTGTGGATTCAGAGTAATATAATTTTTTTTTTTTTTAAATAGTGTAGTAGTTAAAGGACCACTATAGTGCCAGGAAAACAAACTTGTTTTCCTGGCACTATAGGTCTTTGGGTGCCCCCCAGCCTCAGGGTCCCCTCCCGCCGGGCTCAAGAAGGGTTAAGGGCTTAATCACTGACCTTTCTCCAGTGCCAGGCTCCCTCGGCTCTGGGGAAATCTCCTCCCTCTTCCGACGTCAGCGCTGAATGCGCATGCGCGGCAACAGCCGCGTGCGCATTCAATCAGTCCATAGGAAAGCATTTCTCAATGCTTTCCTATGGACATCAGCGACTTCTCACTGTGATTTTCACAGCGAGAAGCACGGAAGCGCCTCTAGCGGCTGTCAATGAGACAGCCACTAGAGGCTGGATTAACCCTAATGTAAATATAGCAGTTTCTCTGAAACTGCTGTCTACAGCTGCAGGGTTAATCCTAGATGGACCTGGCACCCAGACCACTTCATTGAGCTGAAGTGGTCTGGGTGTCTATAGTGGTCCTTTAAGTGTGTATGTGAATCATGGCAATGTGTTTATATGTGCAATGCAGGAATCCAAATTTTGGGTCTTGAAGTACTAACCATGTGCTAAAAGTTACGAGCCACCTTAAAGGGACAATATAGTCACCAGAACAACTTCAGATTAATGTAGTTGTTCTGGTATGTACAGCCAGTCCTTACAGGCATTTTAATGTTAACCCTGCCTTTTCAGAAAAAGGCTGCGTTTACATTGCTGCATAGGGACGCCTCCAGTGGCAGTCACTCAGACGGCCACTAAAGGTGCTTCCTGGGTCAGTGATCGACAATGTGCAGCACTGATGTTCAGTGCCTCATTGCTCTGCATGGAGGCGTTACACTTTCCCCACAGAGATGCATTGATTCAATACATCTCTATGAGGAGATGCTGATTGGCGCAACACAGTGTTTTGCCATGTGTGCCAATAAGCTTCCCAATGCTTCCTTTGGGAGAGCATTGAAATGGCTGAGATTATCAATTCTGATTATCTCAGTCAAGGGGCCAGAGCATGGGCTCAGCCAGCGCCGGCGGCCATGTGTGGCCCTGAAATAAAGGTTAGTTTATTACCTTTTACGAAGGGGCAAAGGGATGCCGGTAACCTAAATGGTGTTTTTTAAACTATATGGTCAGGAATACACATTTATTTTTTTGTTTGTTTTGGAATTCATTCTACTATGTCCATGACATCAGGGTGTGTATGCAGTGATGTATTTATATTGAGGGTCTGCATGCAAGGCCATATTTGGATGTAGTTTGTGTGTGAACTCAAGTTTGTCAAGTAGTTTGATGTGTGGAACATCCGTGTGGGTGAACACAGGGGCATGTAGTTGTTATAAGTGCTGTAGTGGGGAAGCGGTAATAGAGGCAATAGTAGGAGGCAGGGTAATATAAGCTATTGAGGGTGCAGGGGAGGAATAGAGGCTGAAGAGGGTAACAGGGATTGTAGAATATGTAGGGGGGTAATAGGGTTGTAGTGGGTAATAGGGGTTGTAGGATGTGTAAGTGGTGATAGGGGTTGTAGTATGTGCAGGGGTGATAGGGGTTGCAGTGGGTAATAGGGGTTGTATGATGTGTAAGGGATTGTAGGGGTTGTAGTGTGTGATGGGGTGATAGGGGTTGTATTGTATGTTAGGGAGTGATAGGGGTTGTAGTGTGTGTGGGTTGAAGTATGTTAGGGAGTGATAGGGGTAGGAGTGTGTAGGGGTTGTAGTATGTGTAGGGGTGATAGGAGTTGTAGAGTGTGCTGGGGTTAATAGGGGTTGTGTGTGTGTGTAGGGGATGATAGGGGTTGTAGTGTGTGTAGGGGTTGTAGTATGTGTAGGGGTGATAGGAGTTGTAGAGTGTGCTGGGGTTAATAGGGGTTGTGTGTGTGTGTAGGGGATAATAGGGGTTGTAGTGTTTGTAGGGGTTGTAGTATGTGTAGGGAGTGATAGGGGTTGTAGTGTGTGTTGGGGCTTGGTGAATAAAGGGGAATGGATGGATAGGTTAAAAAAAAAAGCTAAAATAATGTATCCCCCCCTCCCTAAACCTTACCTTTGTCCACGAAGTTCAAGTAGGTAATCCTTACCCACAGTGGTGCAGAGAGTCCAACCTCCATCTTGCCATGTGAGTGTCTAGAAGAGCTCCCTCTCTGGCCGGCCATGGAATTGCGGGCAGGCTGCCAGAAACACTGATAAAGCAGCTCCGCACAGGCTGCTCTGATCAGTTACAGGCAGCCTGCATGGAGGGCTCTGCTCCTGGAGTCTCTGCCGAGACAGGCACAGTGAGAGGCAGCCTGGAGGGTCTTTGATAAGGCCCCTGGGCTGTCTCTCAGTGTGCTACAAAGGTCTGCTGACTGTGAGTATAGCCGACCATGGGGGGAACTTCACTAACAGCAGGGGCCCCTTACTGAGTGCATTCTGGCTGGGGAGCTTGCCGAACTCCCCAGCTGCTATTACATTCTGCACCACGGGCGGGCCCCCCAGAGCCTCGGGCCTTCGGTCCATGACCGATATGCCCGAGTGCTCAGTCCGCCCCTGATGATATATACCCAATGCAAAGATTGTAGAACCAGGAGATCCAGAGTTAATCTAATTATTTTTTTTCTTCTGCACTGTTTGCTTTTTTTTTTCTCTCTCCTCCCTAACTCTATGATCTTCACACAAGATATGTATGACCCTCTGCGAGAATGGTATCTATTTTCTATCAAATCTGTGTCTTATCTGCACTCATGTCGCTTTAACCCCTGTGATACACAGGGACATGGTGATACATAGTCTCAGTGTCCTTCTGTGTCCCCAAATGTCTCAGCATCCCCATGTCTCACAGTGTCCCCTAGTGACATGGGGACACTGGGAGACATGGGGACATTTGGAGACAGGGAGACACTGGGAGCAATCCATCTATACAGCAGAATCAAATTGTAAGTAATGTTTTGGTGATTTCACTGAATTTTCTCTGTCACTCCTTCTGATTTACATCATGTGATGTCACGCATATATAATTAGTTATGCAAATTAGTAAGGCCTGTATTTTTTTCCAAGAAAGGTGGCAACCCTAATTACTCTTCACATACTCTTGCTTAAGTATCGAAACTTAAGAGGGATATATGGAAACAAAACTTGTGTGGACTGGCTGAAATGAAATTAGTTAAGGTAATGCTGGGGCATATTCCCTTTCTTCTACACTCACTACATCCACCTTTTCTCTGTCCCAGACTGTATACCAGGTGCTTCTGCTTGCTAGTAAGATGTAAGGAGACAAGTGGACATGTGAGTGCTAGGTGAAAGTCCTTGGAAAGCATGGAGCGAGCGCATCCTTAGACGCATTTTTGCCAAGCTCAGGATGCTGTTGGCCTGAATGCATGATTGGCAGGCAGCCTGACATGCATTCATGCCAGGCTTGCCTTCCAATTCTTTGGGCAGACACACCTCCTTTTTGGGCATGTTCATCCCTATCGGGAGTTCTGGTTACATGATCTGCGTCAGTGGCCCACCCTTTTACACCACCCATTGACTTCCTGCTTCACTGGACACTGCTGTTAGGGGGTATGGATTTACTTGAAAGATGAAAGCATGAATTAGAGAGAGCATATTTTAAGAGAATCTGAGGTTTTTTTTTATAGCTGCCTACTATGAGTTTCCCTCCGGCAATATCTCCACTAGATACATAACGTTTGAGAGGTATGACTGTTTTAGTGTTTTTGGTTGATAAAAATCTGTGCATAGGCCCCTCATAATTGTCGGCACTAGGTCCACTTCGCTCTTAATCTGGCCCTTGTGACAGCTACTCCAGAAACTTTTTCTCCACTTAAAGATGCAATGCACAACAATGGGGTTACAACTTAGAATACTGTAACTTAGAATACAAATAATGTAATACTATTTTAACAGATGAAATATACAATGACCAATTGATGGATGGGTGTAGTTTGGATTTGTATTATTGTTTTAAGTTTGCTGATCTCTTGCTGAGACAAAATACATGTAACTGACACTCTGTGTTTTATATTTTACTGATGGAAAGCAATAAATATTTCTGGAGCTTTCTCTTAAATACTTTGCTGAAGTCCCATGGAGGACTAAGAAACAGCTGATTGCCCCTATTACATTAGAGGAGGCATCTTTGAAATGTGTTTCATGCATCCATCTTTTAAGTGCAATTGAGTCATTGCATATTGTATTATGCAATGATATCCTGCATGCACAGACATACATATACACAAGTAGTGTATATGTACAAATATACACAAGTACATACACAATATACACAAGTTCATACGATATACATATAAATATATGTAGATGTGCATGTGTGTGTCTTTGTATGCTGGATATAAGCCTTCATGTATATTCTGGAACTCTTGAATGTGAATCCATGCATTCTTAATCTAAGTAATTATTTTTTTTGTTCCTTCTAGCACCATCTGCACTGCTTGCTTGTTTTTTTTTTTCTCTCTCCTCCCTAACTCTATGATCTTCACACAAGATATGTACGACCCTCTGCGAGAATGCTATCTATTTTCTATCAAATCTGTGTCTTATCTGCACTCGTGTCGCTTTAACCCCTGTATCACAACTCAACTTTGAATTCTATATGTCGTCTCTGTTTAGAAATACTTTAGGCTTGAGAAAGGGAGGATCAACGAAAGCTTGCCATTACAAAGTTCTGTTAGTCCAATCAAAAAGCTATTACAAAATATGAATTTTATCTGGGTTTTTTACATCTGTGGTACTTGACTAATACAGCATCAATCTCTGCTTGAACACTGTACTAAACATAGTATAGATATTAAACTGTAACCCCATAATTAAGCAGTTCACTAGGCATCAGAGCATCTTGAACATGGGAATTAATGAAAGAGCAAGTCCATTTGCCAAGCCAAACATAAGGCACCAAAACTATTTATGAACTTTATCCATGCACAGTACACTAGTTCACACCTGTTCACTTAGGAGTGAAGCAGAGAGTGTACTTATTCACAATCAGAGGTCAAGGTTAAAGATTAACTTGATTAACCTAGTTTATATAGGAGACAATGTCCAATTACCTCTTGTAGTACATGATAATATGACAGTTACTATATATCCATTATTCTTGTTCCAAAAAGAATTTCTATTTAGATGAATTTGAGGGCCTCATTGATGAACTTTTATTTCACCTGAATGCAATATCAAAGAGTCTACACTGCTCGCTTCCAGCAAAGCCACTTTGTTACACAGAAGAAGAGGATGAAGCCCACCTCATTTCAACCTATTCTAGTGTTTACATTAAACAATCACCAGTGGTAAGTTAGTACAAAAGGATACTACATTACAAAATGCATATTTCTTGTTCAGTCAATGGTTTAAATACAAGGTGAACTACATGGGTCAAGTCCTGGAGGATTAAGTGTGGGAACTCACCCAAGATTCCCCCCCCCAAAAAAATAATAATATACACTCGTATATATAAACACGTGCACACACACCTACTCACAGACACACATACTCAGACACACACACATACACTCAAACACATACACTCACAGAAACAAACACTTTATTCATATTTTTTAAAATTTAAAAAAAGTCTACCCAGCCTCCCTACCTGGAGAGCTGGCATGGCCCTGTCCCTGGGGTCCAATGGGGCTTCAGTGAGGTGGGTGACTGTCTCCCTGTCAGACGCGGTGAGGGAGCTGTGTTCTCTCTGATCTGCTCCCTCGCAGGCTGCCTACTGATGCCGGCTCCCGGCATCAGCAAACGGCGCGCGAGGGAGAAGATCAGAGAGAACACAGCTCCCTCACCGCATCTGACAGGGAGACAGGCTACTGCCGGGGGGTGGGGGGTGTCCATTAGGTGACCATCAGGCCACCTCTTGGGTCCCCCCCACGACAGGGGAACATTTGGAGGTGGCATTTTTTGCCGACCCCTGAGTGTCTGAAGGAGCAACGGGAACAACGTTCCTGCAGTGAAAAAAGTGCTGGAACGTCGTTCCTGCAAGACTCGAGCCCTAGTGAACTACATAGTAGTGTTGTCAGATTTGTGGGTAAAATATTCTGCCTTTCCTCATTTTCAAGATAATCATTGTAAGTGTACTTTACAACCTTGTATTCATTGTGGATTCATTTAATATAAATAGTGAAATCCATTTTAAATATTATAGTATCTGTACTTTTATAAACATTTTAGCTAGTGGTTTATTTTTGTTGACTTTTTTTGTTGTTTTTTTTTATATACAGCACTTAAATAACTCAGAATGGTATATTAAATTGCACAACACTTTACGAGCACATGTTCATTGAAAAAATTTATTTTTAGAGGAATAATGCATGTATTGTATGTTTTGTTACTTAAAACATTGTTTTTCCTGCTTCCAAACCAACTTAATACAGTCTTACAAAATTTTATTTTTATAATGCTAGAATTCTCTGTATTCCGAAGATGTTCAAGAAGAAAATACACTTGAAGAAGGAACCTGTTTAGAGTCTGCCTCTTTGAATATTGAGCTACACAGGTAGAATATTGCTGGCATCATTATTGTTAGACACCTGGAAGAAATATATATTTGAATAATGCAATATCATCAGATAATGGTTATATTAGTATATATTGTTCATGTAATTGCAAAGTAAATATATGTATAGTAATCTAGGTTGCAAAAACAACCTGTTCATATACATCAAGTACCGTATATACTTGTGTATAAGTCGACCCGAATATAAGTCGAGGCCCCTAATTTTACCCCAAAAAAACTGGGAAAACTTATTGACTCGAGTATAAGACTAGGGTGGGAAAAGCAGCAGCTACTGGTAAATTTCTAAATAAAATTAGATCCCCCCAAAATTATAGTAATTGAATATTTATTTACAGTGTGTGTATATAATGAATGCAGAGTGTGTGTGTGTGTGTTTGTGTAGTGTGTGTATATAATTAATGAATGCAGTGTGTGTACGTGATGCAGAGTGTGTAACCTTGGTGGCGGTGGGATTTTTATTATTTATTTTAATATTTATTATTATCATTATTATTATTTATTTATTTTAAATATTATTAACATTTTTATTTAATTTTTTTCGTCCCCCCTCCCTGCTCGATACATGGCCAGGGAGGGGGGCTATATTCCTGGTGGTTCAGTGGATGGGCTGTGCAGGAGAGGGCTGGCAGCAAGCTGTAACTTACCTTTCCTGCAGCTCCTGTCAGCTCTCTTCTCCTCCGTTCCAGTCAGCTCCACTGTAAATCTCGCAGTTTGAGTGCCGTGCGGAGCGTTGCCACGGTAACCCGTGGCAACGCTCAGACGCCGCGGCTCTCGCAAGACTTACAGTGGAGCTGAATGGCACGGAGGAGAAGGGAGCTGACAGGAGCTGCAGGAAAGGTAAGTTGCAGCTCGCTGCCAGCCCCCAACAGGACCGCCGGGCTTGTAATGACTTTTTCTATGATTTCTTCTTTGCACCTCTGAGGGAATTTTAAAAAGAATGTAACCTCTCTCTCACTAATTAGTCCACTGACGAATATTGGGGATAGCCTCCCAGAAATACTGACCACACAAGACACACCCCACAAAACACATAGGCGACCAGATACATACCTGGCGATCTACCATCACAACAGTAGACAATATCTCTACTTCATGGACCTGAACACTCTCCAGTTATGTAAGCGCCTTACTACGAATATTGCACATAACTGTAATGGCACTTAACGTATTTTCCTTGAACACTAAATGCTTAAACTCACCCACAAGCGCAGAATGGCACTCTTGGAAGCAAAAAAACATAACGCGTTTTATCAAGAAACCCATTTCCAAAAAATAAATCAACCGAAGTTCTCTTCTAAACATTTTCCACTGGGTTTTCACAGTACTTACAAATCAAAGAAGAAAGGGGTGACAATCTTGATAAGCAAAGATTTATCTTTCCAATTGATAAAAAGAATAGGCGATACGGATGGGAGGTATCTCATTTTACAATGTGTAATTAATAATGCCCAATTCACCCTGGTAAATGTATATGGCCCACACACGGACCAGCAGGCCTTTTTGGATAAGGTTCTCACTCTATCAGTTACACATAAGTCTGGCGATATCATAATAGGTGGTGACGCAAACCTCCTCCTTGACCCAAACCTAGATTCCACCTCTGCCGACAAGATCAAAGAAACTACATCTAAGCAAAGGGCACTGTGGCAAACCTAGCCACTTGTGATAACATGGACTATGTGTAGAAAAAGGTTGCATGTATTATTCTTATGACTTCTTGTATTCCCTGGCTGTACCCTTTGTATTATTGTATGTTACATTGAATTCGTGTGCTAGCTGCCAAAAGCGGCTAGCATTCAAGTGTATCGCTTCACGAACAGCCCCATTGCGGGCTGTTCGTGAACCGAATGAGCCATCCCTTAATAGCCCACACAGAGAGGGACGTGTGGCGCTTGTTAACCGATTGCAGCAATGTTGCAATTGGTAATTAGAGGCTTTCTTAGGTGGCCATCATTCGGCTACCGACCACGCGGCGGTCGGCCATTTTGGATCCTTTGTCTCCCCAGCGGTGTTTGGTCGTCGAGCGTGTGGTACTGAAAATGGCTACTCGACGGCGCAAACACCGCTGGGCTTCCAGGCCGTTCGGGAGCTCCGGTCTTTTCGCCATTAGGGTTCCCCATCGGTGTTCGGTACTTTGGGTCGAACTCTATGGCAAAGTGTATTTCGTGCGGCGTTCGGTTGTTTTAGCTGGGATCTGAGCGGTATTCTCACGAACTGTGCTCTCAGACCCCAGCTATCTACCGAACGTCCATTCATTTAAATCTGTCAAGTATTCGAAAAGTTATATATTTTAATATAAATTGTCGGTTCTGCTGCACAGAGGGATTATCCACTTAACGGTATATTCCAGTGGGAGTATCCCTCTCGTGCAGCAATGCCTGATGGGAGAAAAGGTCTGCATGTTAAGTCCCCCATGTAGTCCCCTACTGTATTACCCCTGCTATGACAGTATGGAAACCCCTTGCATGGGGACTTGCATAAATACTGGATGCTGTGAATAAAAACCTCAGTTGACTCCCAGAACTGTGTTTCGTCCGGTTACTGGGGGATTTGGGACATTGCCTTACTTTTCAGCGCTTGACTGTGGATTACCTTCTTTACCAGTGGAGTTCGTGGGATTTAATATTGCCGCTCCGCTACAGGCACGTTCAGTGAAAATTATAGGTTATAAACTCCTAGATCATGAGTTTCTAGATATATGGAGGCAGGGCTGGTGCAAGGATTTTTGCTGCCCTCGGCACCCCATGTGACATCACAATGCCCCACCCCATGTGACATCACAATGCCCCACCCATAGGATCTGCCATGTTAACTAACGCCAGTGCTGCAGTGACGCCGTGTTTACATTAAAAGGCCTGCAGGGACATGCTATGGACACCAGAACCACTACATTAAGCTGAAGTGGTTCTGGGGACTAGAGATTAGTGCCACGAATAACATACAAGATTGCCTACTTACAACCAGATGAAGATGATGATGATGGGCTCTAGCTGCAGTCTGGCTCCACTGGTCTGGTATAGAACAGGCCTTCTGGAGGCTGTTTGTAACTGTGGTCACAAAAATCAATATTGTGGGAGAACGGTAAGCAGCTCAATTTTTTTTAAGGCCCTTTACACAGCTCAAGGTCTGGGTCCCAGGGTCCACCTTCATGTTCCACCAATGAGTTTGTTCACAGGGAGTGGAGTAGGGGGATGTCCTGATATGTGTGTAAGGAATGCATTGTGTGAATCTGTGTTTGTATGTGTAAGGGCTGCAAGGTGTGTTTCTGTGTATGTACGGGATGCAGTGTGTGTGTCTGTAAGGGGTGCATTGAGTGTGTGTAAGGAATGCATTGTGTGTTTCTGTGTGTGTAAGTTTGGGGTCATCTGCAAACACCGACAATGACTTTTAATACCCTTTTTTCAAGATAATTTATAAACAGATTAAAGAGCAGTGGAAACAGGACAGAATCCTGACGCACTCTCTGCACTTTATCTTGTTATTTCCAAGAGCACAATTTTACATCTAAACCGATTTTAGTTTTAATAGTACACTTTTACGGGGAACTGTTTCAAATGCCTTGGCAAAATCCAAGTAGATTACATCTACTGGATCATCCTGATCTATATTTGACTAACTTCTTCAGAGAGTGCAATTAGGTTAGTTTGGCATGACCAGCCTTTCATAAAACCTTTTGACTCCTGCTAATGATATTATTGTGCAAATTAATTCTTGAATATTATCCCTTAACAGCATTTCAAATAATTTCCCAACCACAGATGTCAAGCTCACAGGTCTGTAGCTTCTGAACCCTTTTTAAAAATAGGCATCACATCTGCTTTTCTCAAATTCTCTGGTATAAGTCCTGAAATAAAAGAACCTTGAAAGATTTAAAACAGTGGTATGGATATTTCTATACTAAGCTCCATAAACACACGTGGATGAATACCATCTGGCCTTGAGGCTTTGTTAACATTAACTTTCATTAATTTCTGTAGCACTTTATCCTGTTTTAATCAATCACATTTTTTTCTGTAAGGCTTTTGTAACAGGGAGTTGGAAAGCTACAGCTATAGATTCTTCTTTTCTCTGTACTGAAGAAAAAAAAAAATATTTAGAATTTCTTCCTTGTTCTGATCCTCCTTGAATAACTCACCCATCTCAGATTCCAGTGGGTCAACCATTTACTCTTAACATTTTGGGCATTACTTAAAAAAAAACTGTTTTGAAGTTGGTATTCAACCTCATTAGCTAAGAGCTTTTCAGTTTCAGGTTTAGCTTATCTAATCACCCTTGTTGAATCCCAATTGGCATGCTTATATTTGTCATAGGATGCAATTGACCCCTCTGGTTTAAATGATTTATGTGACTAACCTTTTTACTAAGCCACAGGTTCTAATTTACTTCTTATACATTTGTTTCCCAATGGTATGTAATGAGAATTGCACTTTTGTAGAATGTATTTAAATTCCACATTCATCCTGTGTTTTTGCCAGTGAATAATTCCTTACAGTCAATTTGTTGTAAAGATGACCTTATCTTTTTTATAATTAACCTTTGTAAAATGAAGGGATTTTTGTACAACCCATTGTTTTGAGTTAATCTCAAATGATATCATATTATGGCTACTATTTCTTAAGGGCTCCCTACCTTGGACATTTCAAAAAAAGGTCTATGGTGTTCTTGTTGGTGTTTTTACTAATTGAGACATGAAAGTGTTTTTTTTAAGTTCAAAAACCTGTTTCCTTTAAAGGAACACTACAGTCATCCAGACCACTTCATTTCATTCAAGTGGTCTGGGTGCACCATCCCTGTCCCCTTATCCCTGCAGCTGTAAACATTGCATTTATAGATATCTTGAAATGTTTCATTGCAGTATTAAGACTGCCTCTAGTAGCAGTCTACCAGAAAGTCACTAGAAGTGCTTCCTGCTGTTTCACAGAGTTTATCTCTGTGAAATGCTGCTAGGTGTCCACATGCTTTGCATGAGGATGTCAAGCATCT